TCATTGGCAGTTAGAGTTAGCTGCCCGCAGTGTTGACGCACGTTATTGTTATTCTCAGATTGGCCTCGGTCGTGTGAATAGCCACCGACGTCCAGTTTATGCTTCGAAACAGATCATCGGCAGTTAGAGTTAGCTGCCCGCAGTGTTGACGCACGTTATTGTTATTCTCAGAGTGACCTCGGTCGTGTGAAGAGCCACCGACGTCCAGTTTATGCTTCGAAACAGATCATCGGCAGTTAGAGTTAGCTGCCCGCAGTGTTGACGCACGTTATTGTTATTCTCAGAGTGGCCTCGGTCGTGTGAATTGCCACCGACGTCCAGTTTGTGCTTCGAAACAGATCATCGGCAGTTAGAGTTAGCTGCCCGCAGTGTTGACGCACGTTATTGTTATTCTCAGAGTGACCTCGGTCGTGTGAATTGCCACCGACGTCCAGTTTATGCTTCGAAACAGATCATCGGCAGTTAGAGTTAGCTGCCCGCAGTGTTGACGCACGTTATTGTTATTCTCAGAGTGACCTCGGTCGTGTGAATTGCCACCGACGTCCAGTTTATGCTTCGAAACAGATCATCGGCAGTTAGAGTTAGCTGCCCGCAGTGTTGACGCACGTTATTGTTATTCTCAGAGTGACCTCGGTCGTGTGAATAGCCACCGACGTCCAGTTTATGCTTCGAAACAGATCATCGGCAGTTAGAGTTAGCTGCCCGCAGTGTTGACGCACGTTATTGTTATTCTCAGAGTGGCCTCGGTCGTGTGAATAGCCACCGACGTCCAGTTTATGCTTCGAAACAGATCATCGGCAGTTAGAGTTAGCTGCCCGCAGTGTTGACGCACGTTATTGTTATTCTCAGAGTGACCTCGGTCGTGTGAATTGCCACCGACGTCCAGTTTATGCTTCGAAACAGATCATCGGCAGTTAGAGTTAGCTGCCCGCAGTGTTGACGCACGTTATTGTTATTCTCAGAGTGGCCTCGGTCCTGTGAATGGCCACCGACGTCCAGTTTATGCTTCGAAACAGATCATTGGCAGTTAGAGTTAGCTGCCCGCAGTGCTGACGCACGTTATTGTTATTCTCAGAGTGGCCTCGGTCCTGTGAATGGCCACCGACGTTCAGTTTATGCTTCGAAACAGATCATCGGCAGTTAGAGTTAGCTGCCCACAGTGTTGACGCACGTTATTGTTATTGTCAGAGTGACCTCGGTCGTGTGGATAGCCACCGACGTCCAGTTTATGCTTCGAAACAGATCATCGGCAGTTAGAGTTAGCTGCCCGCAGTGTTGACGCACGTTATTGTTATTCTCAGAGTGACCTCGGTCGTGTGAATAGCCACCGACGTCCAGTTTATGCTTTAAACAGATCATTGCCAGTTAGAGTTAGCTGCCCGCAGTGCTGACGCACGTTATTGTTATTCTCGGAGTGGCCTCGGTCCTGTCAATGGCGACCGACGTACAGTTTATGCTTCGAAACAGATCATTGGCAGTTAGAGTTAGCTGCCCGCAGTGCTGACGCACGTTACTGTTTTTCTCAGAGTGGCCTCGGTCGTGTGAATGGCCACCGACGTTAAGTTTATGCTTCGAAATGGATCACTGGCAGTAAGAGTTGGCTGCCCATAGTGCTGACGCACGTTAATGTTGTTTTAAGAGGGGCCTCGGTCGTGTGAATGACCACAGGCGTCCCCTTTAGACTTCAAAGCAGAGCATACTGCGATTTCGCTCTCCGCTGTGCTAACACACGGTTTTGTTATTCTCAGAGGCCTCACTCGTGTGAATGGCCACAGACGCCCCATTTATGCTTTAAAGCAGAGCACTGGCAGTGATATGCTGTGTCGTTTTTCTTAGACAAAAAAAAGCTTATTTGCAATAAAAATTCTATTTGTTGCGCAGCAAAGATGTTTAGACAGCGGGAAGGGCCAATATGGCATCTGATGTTTTTGCCGTAGATAGGCTGCAAACTTTCCTGAGCGCTCTTTCCTGTCCTAACGTTCTTCCTTCCGTGTATTTGCGCTAATTTTCTCATTATGTTTAGCCAACTAGCCCACAAGATGATTTTAATGCAAACTTTTGTTTTCACGAAGTTGAAATTTATACTGGTGATATATGGTATAGTGCAATGTATATACCGGCTTAGACATTATCGCAACAAAAATAAAAAGTTTGTCTGGTGGCTGCATATCGAAATGCTATACGGCAACGAGCAGAGAAGCATGGCAACATGAGACACGGGAGGTCAGTGGTGGACAAGAGCAACAATCTGATTTTAAAGCATCTGAGTGATCCTTAAAAGGACCGTTCTTGTGTTCCGAGATGTTCTACGCTTTCTCCATAATGGTGGCGTTAAGCTTCGTCGAAGGGCTCGACACCTGACAGGTCACTCTGGGATGGGGTGTCCTCTCCATCCAGCTGGATGACGATGGGCTGGATGTAGGCACTTGTGGCGCCGCCTCGTCGGAACGTTGCTTTAATGTCAATAACGTGCCTGACAGCATTAACCCAGTTGTCAGTAGTGACCTTGTCAACTTCTTCTTTGAGGAGTGTCCCCACGTCGACAATCTTGAACTTCGTGTTTCGGGCAGCAACGCCGTTCTTGATCTGCGCCCATATCAGTTCATTGGGGTTGAACTCGCAGTGATACGGTTGGAGCCTGACCACAATGCAGCCAGCCGTCTCGGCAGCAGTGTCCACACGATGCTTTAGGCGGTGTTGCTTCACCAAGACCACAATTTCGAGCATCTGCTTCTCCAGCATTTTGGGGTCCCATGAAATGTTTTTAGACTTCAGCCACTGTCGGATGTCGTCCTTGCGGGAACTCGTCGTCGGCACTGCTTCCAACCGCAGTGAATGGTAAGCAGCGTTGTCGATGACGATAACCCTTCCTGTCGACAGTTTGTCGAGGACACCGTCGAACCGATTCTCGAAGCAGGCGCCATCCATTTCTTCGTGGTAATCAACGGTTTTTTGTCCACGGAACACGCCCAGGCACCCGTCGACGAAGCCTTCGCCTCAAGCAGCCACCTTAACCGGTGGCTGCTTGAGGTTAGTCGAGAAACGACGCATGAAGGCGTCGTGAGATCAGGCCACGATCGTGTCTACTCACACCCTTGAGACAGTGTGCCCTGCTGTCACCCACGTCTCGTCGAAGTAGATCTTCCGACCATCTTGTTGGTGACGTGCGATCTCATGCAGGTACTTCTGCTGCCAGGCGACGATGTCCGCTCGTTCAATCAGCCGCGAGTTTCGTTCCCTCTTGTCATGCTCGAATTCGATGTCGTGGAGAAGGCGACGCACAGTCCAAGCCTTCAACGAGGGAAGTTCAGTGCTCGTGCAGAATTCGGCCGTTATCTTCTTGACCGTGGGGACCTCGTTCCGTCGAAAGAAACGGTGGACGCGCGATCTCAGCTCGCACAACGGGAAGTCGCCGTAACTGACTTTGCACCGCCTCTTGCCTTCACTTGCTGGGCGCTTCCGAGAAGGTGTCACAACTTGGCCCTCGGTTTCTTTCACCTGCTTCCTATTCTCGAGGATGGTGCGTACACCAACGCCAAGCAGTTAGCTGACTTTGATGCAGGACTCCTCCACAGTGAGGCCGGGCTGGCCGGGCTTGGCGGGCGGTTCGTGTCGCACCTGAACGTACGCGTTCATTATCAGCTACCGTGCAACTCGGTTGAGAACATCGCCACTCTTATGCTTCCTATAGAGACGCCTTGGCGTAGACGGCGAGGCTGCACCAGATTCTCTTGACGAAGAATAATCGGAGGAATTGCATTCCGCTGTCTTCACGTTAAGATTCATAACGGAAAAAAACGACGACTTCGGATTTGTCAAAACACAAATCACAGGGGCTTCCAAAACCCGAAACGCAGCTTTTGTTTTAACAAATGCAGCAAATGCACGGAATGTACATAATTTGTGTAGGACGGTTATCAAGCTGAAACCAGCAACCATATATGCATTATTGATAAAAGTTACAATTTTCGTTGCACTGAAGCCTTCTTTTTACTTCAGCCTTCCGGAGCGAGTAATATAGAAGCCTAAAATCCATAATTTGCCTCGGCCAGGTGGCGCAAGCTGCCGCCCGCCACAAGGTCTGTCTGTAGTCAATATCTATCCATTGAAGCAGAAGGGGCGTTTTCAGCGAACTATTTTCTCGACTGCGGAGGCGTCTGAAGCGGGCGCATCACGCTTATGGGGAGGAGCTTCTACAACCTTCTTAACTTGTAACCGACTATAGTATACCTGAAGAAGACCGTTTGGTCGAAACGTCGTTCCCCTCCTCTCCTTTGGCACTTCTCTTTCCCTTCGTATCTCTACGAATACGCTCTTCTATACTTGGTTTCACCTTGAGTCCAGACGAAGCCGACGCTACGAGCTCGTGGGAGCAGTCGGACAGCGTCAAAGGCATAATGGTGTTTGTCATGTTTCTGTGCGCGTTTCATTATCGCTCAACCAATCATAATAAGAAAAAATCTAGTGACTTGCGCTTTTGTCGCTGCTTGATTGATCCATCAGCGTGGGCAGCGTCGGCAGCGTCTGAAACGATGTATAGTGGGAAAAGAGTGGAGGGCCTCGCGGGATGAGCTGGCCACCCTTTCCTTAACCGGCAACAGAACATGGCCTGAGGATGCTGACAAAGACCCAGGAATGCAGCATGTCTTGGGCTACAATACTCATCGAGTATGTTGTTGCGCTAGCCCGGACACACCAGTCCCGTTCTGCATGACACACGCCCAGCATTGATAACCCACTCAATTTATGCGTGCGCTAGCTCAATATTCTGTGATTTTTATGTGCAAGATCGAGCTTGTCTAACATTTAGCTATTAGTTTCATCTCTTTTCTTCTTTTTGGTCGTTGTTTTTTATCCTCACCACAAACATCTGAACACTTTTCACCGCACCACACCCGCCATGAACCCCAGCGTTTCATCAAAAGCATGGATGTATCATATAACCGACAGCTGGATGCAAAGAGAAACCATTTCTTTTTTTTTTTCATATTTCTTTTCAGAGGACACTTATCAGGATCCCGTGGAACGCGAGTGCTGCTCGCGAGGCCTGAAGCGCGACAAATTCCTGAGGTCCTGCTCCGAACGTGTGGACGTGCTAAGGGAGTACAGGGATCACGACGAGTCACTGATCACGGAAGAATGCATCGCAGCCTTTGCGACGTGCTGCGAGCAGAAGGAAGGTAATCCTTCCACCTCTTCCACCTCGGGCACAATCTTGAACGAAGCATGGCGTTCCAGACGTGCAGCTTTGCTGCACGCTTCTGTTTTCGGAGTCAGACCATTAGCCATGGAATCCGTGACTGGTAGAACGCTTTCCGAGGAATCTTAATGACTGGCCTTCTGCATGCTATGCCGGGACGAGAACAAGTGGAGTACGTAATCGTGAAAACTGCAAGAAAATGACCGACAAAACAGGGAAAACGAAAAAAGGGAGGGTAATTATACTTTCAACTTCACGTTAAGTATACCTATAGAGCTGATAACAAATTTTCCGTCTCTTAACAAGTATCTTAGCGTCTGCCTTCTGGGCACTTTTATACCTTCAGATATGTGTTGCTCTTTTTGACTTTTCGGGAGATTTTAGAAATGTGCGAGATTCTAAAAAACTGACAAAGAATCCTGCGTCTAGCTCCCCCGCTGAATTCAGGGGGAAAACTGTGTCACATTAGTTTGCTGCATTTGCGTTGTTGCCAAAAAAGAAAAGAAGTTCATAAACGCTTTCTGCGACAAATAATTTAAGGGATACAGTAAAAAAAAAAAGCGGATAATGTTTGAATGATGAAACAGAAAATAACATGGGTGGCTGATAATTCAGCCAACATACGGCTATTCGGAAGTACTTCGTGGAATATTTTCAAAGAACGTCATGAAAAACAGCGGTCAGAGGGACATGATACAATAAAAATACATTAGAAATGCATGCAAAAATGCAAAAAAGACAAAATAAAATTTGTTTATAAAAATTTAAAACAAAAGGTTGAGAAGAAAAAGTGTTTTAGAAAATAAGGAGGTATCGTAGTTCCTTGGGTGACAAGTTCCCTGATGGCGCGCTTATGCAGGGTTGGCTTCTTGTTGCGATGGCTTGTGCTTTTCAGCTTTCTCTAGTTCTTTTGTCGTCGAACCGCCAAAGAATCCCTGCTCTAGAGAACAACGGGACGCGCCCACAGTCCCTCACATGTAAGGCCAGGTGGCCTGACGGCGAGAATTTTAGAGGAAGTTCATGCTCACTGAGCCTGATGTTGACGCATCTTCCGGTCCTGCCCAAGTAAACGTTTCCATACGAGAACGGTATCTCATACACAACTCCACGGTCATAGCGCATTTCTTTGTGGGAATGTCTAATACTGCATTCGTCCGCCTTGTCGCGCTGCGTGTTTATTGTGGGGCAGAGTCTTCTTAGTTTGTCTGGAGCAGATAGCACCACCCGGCCATCATACTCGGATACAACTCTCCTGAAGCTGTGGGAGATGCGATGCTTGTACGGGACGACTGCAGGTCGGTATCGTTTCTCTCTACACTCTCTTGGTCAGTTAGATTGGATCATGCATTCAGCCACAATCTCATAGGGTCAGAACTAGGGAAGCTAGAAGCTTCGAGCCGTAACTCTTTGCTGCTTAATGAAAACAGGACATCTTTAGGGCCGCGCTGAAATAACTGGAAACAATTCCTTACCCTATCAGATGTGACTGAATGCATGCTCAAATCTAACCGACCAAGAGAGTCTAGAGAGAAACGAGACCGACCTGCGGTCGTCCCATACATGCATCCCATCTCCCACGGCTTCAGGAGAGTCGCATCCGAGTGTGATGTCCGGGAGGTGCTATCTCCTCCAGACAACGAAGAAGACTATTTCCCAAAATAAACTCGCAGTGCGACAAGGCGGACGAATGCAGCGTTAGACATGTCCACAAGTACATACACTATGACTGTGAAGTTGTGTATGGGATACCGTTCTCATGTGGAAACGTTGACATGGGCCATACTGAACGAAGCGCCAAGAGCAAGCTCAGCGAGCATGAACTTTCCTTGAAATCCTCGCCGTCAGGTCACCTAGCTTTATATTTGAGACACTGTGGGTGCGCCCCGTTGTTCAATGATGCAGGGATTCTGAGGCGCTTACACAACAAAAGAACTAGAGAAATCTACGAAGACCAGGCCATCGCAGAGAGACGTGAATCCTGCATAAGCGCGCCATTAGAAAACTCGTCACCGAAAGAACCATCCTTATTTCGAAAATATTTGCGCTTCTCAACCTTTTGTTTTTGAATTTTTAAAATATTTTTGTTTATTTCTTTATTTATTATTAGCTTTTTATTTATCTCAGTCGTTCTTTTGAATCCTTTCCTTCTTTTCAATTTTCTTTTTATCTTCCATATATATAAATTTATTTCCGTCCTTTTCTTCCTTTATTTATTTATTAAAATGTCACTTCAAAGCAGTGCTTGACCTTCCTTGTGCTTTAGTCGTCTTTCGCGCTAATATTTTTATGGCGAAGGTCGCCTGCTTCTATGAACGCCGCAACGCTAGCCAAAGTCGGACGCGCCGTTCTGGAGGTGGACGCTGGAGGTGGACGCTGGGAGCCGAAAGCGGTCGTCTGGTGAACCCCTCGCTGTTTCGACGAGCCTTGGAGCATGCTCGGACCTTTTCCGAGCAAAGCGACGGTGACCGCGCGCAGCCCGGTCTGCTTTGCAGCCTAGCTTGGAGCCCAAGCTAGCGTTACCACGTTGGAAGCAGACGGCATTCGGAATATGGTGCGGCTGTAACTGGCTTCATCCGCTGCGTTCGCGTGCGCGCCTATTGACATTCGGTAACCGTAGCATAGGGACTTTATTGTGCGGAAGAACACGGTAGTGTGGCAAGACCAGGTGCGTACTTGGGCTCGTTCAGCGTCCATTTCAATCTGCAGAACGCGAAAAAAAGAGTTCTAGATAAGGACTTAAAGCGGGGGGGGGGGGGGGGGGGGTTGGTGTTCTCCCTCGCTTAATATTTGTACGAGCCATTGACGAAACATACGCTGTTTTGTTCGCCATTCAAGGCCGGTTTTTGTCCCGTGGAACATGGAGCTGAAATATCAAGGCCATAAATTTTACCGCTTGCATTGGGTACCATAATGAGCACTAGTAGTTTTAATAACATCCCTTAAAATAACCTTTCCGTAATTTGGTGCCATCTAATGACCCACAAATAGGCACAACATTTCGCATGCTACTAGAGGTAAAAATGTGGTATTGCTTCAGTGGACGTCAATCTCTTACGTCCACCACTGATGGGAGTTTATTCTTTGTACTTTTTTTTCCGACTCATTTTAGTAAATGCGTTGACGAAACCACCACCCCGTACGAAGTGATGACCAGAATTAAGCTCTCGACAAAAAAAATCCGCATCAAGAAGCTTAGGGAGTGGTTGCCCGCCAAATAATTAGATGCGTGTTCAAAATTATTACAAATTGGGCGTCGATCGCACTGTGTTTTGTGTAGAATTCAGAGGCTCTGCTTTGTGCTTATTTTGCCCATTACAAAAAACTTTTTTGGCACCTACCCAGAGCGGCTCGCGCCTTCAACGTCCTCCATCCGCCAGGAGACCGCCATTAGACAGACGCAGTACACTCAGATGAGGATATTGATACAAGCGATTAGACGGACTTTCCGAAAAGCTCCGTTATAAAAAGAAAAGAAAAGACGCGATCACTCGTTCGTGTTGATTCTGTCGCGTTATCTCACATGGTGCTGCTTCCTCGCAGAGCTCGAGGCGAGTGCCAGATCGGGGGACAAGGACGGCGACAGTCTGGACGACGGGGAATTCGAATACGACGGAACTGTACGCCATGATTTCAGAGAAACCTCGCTCTTTAATCAGTACACCATCGGGTAAGGAGCGGTTTCAGTCCAAACATAGGCACCTCAAATGGTCAAACGGAAACGCGACGAAACTCACCAGACATCTCGAACTCGGGCATAGTTTACCGAATAGCGGTTAGGAGTCACACGTTCGTACATACTTGTAAATGTATAATATAAATATATGTACATATATCAGTAAATATATCGCGGCCTTCAAGGCGTGCTGCGAGCAGAACAAGGATAAGCTTTCCACCTGTTCCTCCTCGGGCACAATTTTGAACAAAGCATGGCGTTCCAGACGCACAGCTTCGCTGCACGCTTCTCATTTGGGAGTCAGACCGTTAACTATGGGCTCTGTGGTTGGTAGGACGCGTTCCGAGGCATCTTAATGACTGGCCTTCCAGAGGCTATGTGGGAACGAGAACAAGTGGAGCACTTGTTCTCTTTGGCCTCTGAATGAAGAAGCAAACGCTCAAGGAAGAAGTTTACACTAAAACACCGTGGGTTGTCAGCTGTTTGTCATCTCCTGTCCTTTCTTTCTTCGTGTTTAAGTATAATTCTTAAGTTCAAGCTAATATATTTACAAATATTTACATAGGTAGCTTACTGTTACTTCAAAACGTGCGGATTACATAGAACAATTAACCGAAAGAGGGAGGAGGTCTTAATTTGCCACGTGGCAGGCACGTAGCCAGGGAGGACGGGGGGGGGGGGGGGGGTCATGGGGCTCGCCCTCCTCCCCCCCTCCCCCGATCAAAATCCTGGCTACGTGCCTGCCACTTGGTGTAAAGGGTTTTAGTATAAAATCACTAGACTTTTAAACCAGATTTCACCTACCTTTCTGTGCATAACTTTTTTTGGATTTAAAAGGAAACCAATAAAGCATAAATATGTTGGACATATCATACGAAAAACTATATAAAGAATGAAAGAGACGGGGACAAGGGCGGGTACTATGTCTTCATAGTGTTTTTCTTGACTCCAGTCTCGAAACACTGTCTAACGCGTGTTTGGAGCAGATATGTACGAGTTACTGAAATAGTGTAACCAAATACCGTTCCTCACTTAGAAGGTAACTCAGTGCGTTACTCGTGACTGCGACCCAAAAGATGCCTCAGCTTGAAATTAAGGCGTTATTTTATCCTCACTCTGTCGTCTTTATGATGCAGTAGAGGCTTCCAATATTTGTCGTAATTCATAATTCCTCCTTTTTTAACGAGTTTCCTCAGGAATAACAATGGCTATACTGACAATCCTTGGGCACCTTTATCTATGGTCTCAGAGCCGTGCAAATAAAGTCGCGGGTTGGGGTCAGAACTAGGTTGGTTAGTTGTGTTGCACAGGTTCTCCTCTCGGATGTGACTAAATACCGTTACCCATTACTTCGTTGAAAAGTGACAAAAATATGCTTCTTGCTCCTTCGCTGAAGAAGTAACCTTGTCGTTACTTTGTTACCAAACAACGTGTCTAAGTGCAAGTAACGGCCGTGACCGTCGACATCAGAAAGCTGCGCCACGATACGCGACGTGAACGTTGTTGGTCTTTCCAGAAACGACCGGAGAGTGGAAGTTGAGTACTCGCTGCCGGACTCGATCACGACGTGGGAAGTGAACGCAGTGAGCACAGCCCCTTTAGGCGGCATCTGCGCTTCGGAGCCTCTTGAGATCGTCGCCTTCAAGAACGTCTTCGTGGAGATCAACGTGCCCTACTCGGTGCGAAAGAACGAGCAGGTCGAGATTCCCGCCACCGTTTACAACTACGGCCAGAAAACCATCAAGGTGAGGAGGTTCGCCCTTTGTTTTCACTTCCGCGTTGCACCATGGCGTTTCACCAACGCCTGGACCCCTTGATTTGTCAAACTGAAAACAAGAGCAAGTGTAACAGATTGACACTAATCCAGCAAGTTCTGCGATTAGTATATACATTTTAATCTCGCTAGCTACCTGACCGGTGGACAAAGCGCCCTGACACACGATGTGCCATAAGGTGGCTTTAATTTGGTTGTTTTCGGTTTCAGCAGGCTCGCGGCTGCTTTGGTGTGTTAGGTCGTTTTTGCTTAGTTTTGTGACATAACTGTAACCCTCGTGGTACACAACAATAATACAGTGGTAATGAGTCACTTTGAGAACTACGACGTAGTTAGGACCCTAAATTGACGGCGTTTTTACGAACACTTTTATCTGATCTTATTCGTCGTTCGTCCAGGTTCGGTGGCGAAAGGGCTGGAATGATACGGGAGGAGTATTACCGATGTTTATGGCCGTTCTGGACGCACTCGCTGATACTAGTTTCCATAAAATTAACGAATGAAGAGAGAAATGCATGGAGGCCCAGTGAAACTACAGATCGAGAACTTGATTAACAATGTGCTGAATTAAAGATAACAGACGAATTCGCGAGTTTAGTGCTCACTGTTCAAATTTCGATGACACAAACGTTTTCTAAAAGTTGCCGACTGGGAAACCGCCCTGTAATAACGCATGGAATGCAAGAAGCAGCGAGATTATCTCCACAGATCTCCTTAAAGAATTTAGGTGCTCAAAAAATGTTTCGATGATCCGTGCTAAGCCGAGTAGGAAATTTGTTCAAGTATTGGCCCTGCTAAAGTGTTCATTAGCAGCATTTCGCGATGTTGACCTTAGCAAACTACTTGTTATACGGAAATTTCCTAAAAACGTATTTAGAATATGAGATATGGAACGAAATCGTGCATTGAAGTCTGACGTGTGTCTTCCTTATTATTTGTAAAATAAAATTAAATGGCGCAAAAGAATTGACTTCCAGCAAGCTCGGCTTGAGTCAAACGCCAGGCACGACTTCATGGATTTGCGTGGACAGATATGCGTATCCGTTCGAATAGATACGCTTTTCACTTTCAGCGGCGTCGAGGATGAATCCGGCATCCACAACGCTGTTTTCGAGAAATTTCCCTGCAGACGGCTCCTTTTCGGCGTCACATACTGCGTGCCTCCCGCGCTTTTGTCAGGCACTCACAAGCTGTCTTTGACACGTTTTTCACCGGGGGAGACCAGTCCTTTGTATTTAAATGAATTAAATGAATTGGGCCTCTTAAGAAAATTGAATGGCTGCCGACATGGGACCGAACACAATGTATAGTTTCTTTAAATTCGTAAATAAATAGATGAAGCGAATGTTTATATAGCAAGAAATTATTCCCACACATATTCAAAGCTAATAGTATTGATTTTGTTATGAAGGCAACGCAGAATGCTTTCAAGAAACACACAGAGGGACGGTTTGCGTTGACTATATTTGCCTTCTTTTTTGAGATCATAAACGCGCGATCATAAACATACCTTGCGCTTGTTATTGCGCCCCTAGCACTAAGCCTAATTTGCGCTTTCGTAAATAATTGGCCCCTCGATTGTCTTAGAGTAATCTACATGCTCAATGCGTGCCAGTGCTAGCGCTGATTTTTTTACTCAAACGTTTATGGCACGCCGATGGCGCCGATAGTCAAAACGGGCTATAAAATCAAGGTTAGTTGTGCATATAATAATGGCAAGCAGTTAGGTAGTAAAAGCAAGTATCAGACGACACTACACAAAGCAAGGGGAAAATCGCGATAAAACGCCACGAAAAGCACGACTACTGCGGCTTCATCGAGGGGCTCGAGAGGAGCGACAAGTTGAACGCACCTTATGGCGGGCCTATCACGATATTACAAAATGTCAGCGCGCATAGAAAGGAGGATAGGTCTGTAGTTCTTGTTCCCTTACGGTGCATCGCCAGATATTGTGAGAAACGCCTGGAGTCCTTGAAAGTTCCGAGTGCACGGCCTAGCGGCGCACGCCACGCAGCAATCGTAACGCGTATCGGAGAACTCAGCCTGTGCCGAAACCAAGGCTCTCAAAAGGGGCCTCGACAACCCGCTGGGCAACGACAATACGCCTTGATGCTACGGGCATTCGCTCAGTGACGGGCAACGAGAGCACGCAGCTCGCAACTTTGAAGCGAGCTTGACGCAACTGGTGTCAATTTCGCAAGGTCATTGGACGTCACGCACTGCCAGGCAGTCTGACAAAAATCCTTCTGTCGTGCTTATCTTTTTTAACTGACTTACGTGGTGTTCCACGGAACGCTGGTCAAATTGCTCCTTCTGCAAGAAGGGAGCATCGCACAGAAGGTTCCCGAAATATTGGTTTTCTCCAAAAGGCATCTTTAAGTAAGTTAAAGGGTAATTCCGGTAAATTTTCTCAATATTAAGGTTAGAACTATTTTTAGGGAAGTTAGTGTCCCCGATTTACGCGGTGGTCTTTTGTGTTCTCGATGCCTTGTGTAGTTTTGTAGATGTCTTAAAGGAGCACTCCAGTGGTTTTTGAGTTCGTGTTTTGATGATGACAACTGAATTTAGACGCCCTAAGTATCCCTAAAAACCAAAATGTATAGTCATTCGGTGATTATTTCTTTAATAAAAATGTAATTGAAGGCCGCCAAACCTCGGACCTATCCGAAAACGAAACCACTCTCATTGGTCATCACACGCATAACAAAACGATCTCGGGCCAAGGGCGTTGAACGACGTTCCGTCGCACAGCGATCCCGAGGTTGCCGCACCGGCCGAACCTCTTTGTCATTCGAGCTTTGATCATGGCGGAGTTCTCTACGCTCGAGGACCTGACGCCGTTAGAGGTTGACATTCTTCGGCGGACAGCCGACCTGGGGAAGATTTCCTATGACGCCACTCCGACGTGCGATGTGGACAATAGCAGCGCTTCGGAGTCGTATTCGGGTTCTGAGGACGACGAAGCGCAGACCTTTTCGGGCGTTCTTCGATTTGCGGTTGGGGCAAGTCGTAACCATACCCACGTTTGGCATACCATCGTAACCTATGGTACGTGATGTGAAACGATGTCGCCACGTTGACTTTCGCTTCGGGAGGACGGGGAAGGCTGGTTCAGACGTTTGCAACGAGTGCGTTACCTACGACTGCCTCCGTTGCAACCGGAGCGACCGGAACGACCGCTCTGCGCCCCGCGTACTTACACCCGCAACCACTGCAACAAGTGCAGCGGGTCGTCAGCACGGCGACCGCTTCTACGCCGCCGCCAGCTGTTTCAGCGGCGCCTCTAAAAAGGGGACGCACTGCCACTCAATGCCGTAACAGAATATAGACAGACAGTTTTCTATAGCCTAAAGCTTTATTTTTTTTTTCATGGTAGGCTTGCAAGGTAAAGTGGATGAAAAAAAGAACAGAAAAAGATGCAGTACGCCGTCTTAGACGATCATGACTCTAATACACGACTTTGCCAATAGTACAAATATCGCCACACGCCTTTCCTACGATTGTAAAAGACGATGTAATCTTAGCAGCGATATAGCAACGTAGAAATATGATTTCGTGATCAGATAGACGTTGCGAGTGTTCAGGATTGCTAACACTAATCACTTTTTTCCGGTGATGAAAATGCGTGAAAATTCGCATCCTTTATACGGTACGCGCCAGTAATACCTTGAACATGAGCACACGCATTAAATGCGCCAAATATGAATTCCGTGCGATGCTCGAGGGCACAAATGCTTAGAAAGCACCACTGTAGTCGAAGTAAACAAACAGGACGGCGCGGGCGTTTCTGCTGTCTTGAGAGTGCCGCCATGATATAGCCGCACGAGTAGGTGGATCTTCCCTTTTAGTACGTGCTGGGTTATCATAGCGACACACGACAAAAATTCACAGTCAAGGATAGTGCTTTTACGCGGAACGATGAGCTTTCACCACGCCGTCCACGTCGACGATTACCACCAACGCCATGTTTGCAGTTCATGATACGTGCGCTTCCGCGCATCTCGAGGGAACGGGAAATTCACCCCCCGCGGAGGAAGGCAAGGAGAAAACGTAGTCCCTTGTTTGGGAAACGATAATTGCAGTATCGCGTATTCTAAACTAGAACTATTTTACGTCTTGTGAAATTATCATGCAGAGCATATCTAATTGAACTGAAAATTGTCCCTTAAGCGAAACTGTACAAATGCCGCCAAAATTTTCAAACATACGATAATTTCATTGGTCGGCGAAGGAACAGAAAGGACTGCGCACATATTTATTCCTGCGTGACTAATAGGCGGTTCTGCCTTCTAAAACTGAAGATACCCATTCACTGACACTTCCTTAACGCCATCGCACCAAAAAATAGCTTCCCCAAAAACCATTTGAGTGCGTCTTTAACGCAAAGTTTTGTTTCGGGGGTCTACGGCGAATCGAAACTACCGGCTCGAGCATGATGGCGATCCCTATGACGCAAAGTTTGTACTGTGCTGCCCCAAAACGTACGACTGGCCTAGTGGCAAGAACACTTCCAATCAGGGATTTAAGATGCTACTGCTGTTTTACTGCTTTGTTTCATACATATCGAATTTATGTAGCAAATAATAATACACGATCCTAAAGTTGCCGGCCGAAAAACAAGTTTGCCACCATGAACGCAGCCTTTGTCGCTGAACTCGTCACACCCAAATATTCTTTGTGTTATGACACAGTGGGGGGAGGAGCCGAAAGATTGCTACGAAGATTTCTTTTCTCACAAACCCACAGATCCTTGAAGTGAGGCGCCAAAACAATGAGGACACAAGGAGAGAAGCAGACAGGACGAGGCGCACTTTCAACTGAACTTTATTTTAGAAAAACACAGAAACGCAAGCGATGCCCAATGTACACGTGCGCATGGGTAAGAAACAAAGATAGAACGAAGCCTAGCGCGTTTTCCTACGTGACACGTTCATTTTGAAGGAACGTATACTCCCTATCAGATAGAGATAAAGATGGGGCGCTGACACAGACATCGGTGCCACGAGATCGTATGGTGAAGGCCTCCAAGATTTCGCGAGCGATTTTTGTTGCGCCGCTTCCAACAATTCTTGTTTCGTCAAACTTTGGGTCACACTCGCATCGATCACAGTGTACTGCCAAGTGGCCAGACGGGGATTGCCTAGTTGACGCAGAGTGTTCCCTGATTCTATCTTTAATGCACCTCCCCGTCTGGCCAACATACACTCTCCCGTACGACAGGGGTATCTCATAGACAACTTCAGTGACGCAATCGCGGTACTGCTTCACGTGTCTCAGTAGGCAGTACCGCGATTGCGTCACTGAAGTCGTTCTTAGTTCCACCGATAAAGAAAAATTTACTAAAAAGCGTCCGCGCCGTTCCTCTTTATTTAAATCGGCCTAACCAAAGTGTAGTCCGACGTGGCTAGGTCAGAAGCAGCTGAGTAGCGTTGTCCACTTTCGGGCGGATTTCGCCTCCGGGCAGTTGTCCCCTCATTGGCGGGATAAAATCATTTTAGGGTAGACTTTCGAAGATTAGCCAAGCAGGGATTAAATCTGTGTTCATCAACGGAAAAAAATGTCAGGTTGTCAATATTTCCGGTGATGTTTCAAGAAAGCGAGGACACCAAGCTTCCATCGTACACAACCAAACTTGTCACCGTCGATTTGAACACAAAAGTCAAATTTGGGGGTTTTACGTGCCAAACCTACGACGGGCATCTGGCACGCCCCAGCGGAGGACTGAGGATTAATTTCGACCACCTGGGGATCTTTTGACGTGCAACCGAAAGCTCGGTTACACGGCGCCTTCTCCGCAATAAGCCTCCGTCATATTGCGGGCACCTCGGCCGGGATTCGAACCCGCCACCTGGGGATCCGTAGGCCGGCGCTCTCGCCTCGGAGCCACCGAGGCGGCCTCGATTTGAACACGCACTATCGAATTTGTCGTTCATAACTGATAATCCTGACCCTCACGTCAAAGGTATGAACTATAAAAGGACGTCACTAAACACGCCCGCACACTACGAGCCCCGGCACGTACCTCTTGCTTGAACGTTTGTCATGCCCACTCGCGAGTTCATGAAACGCGAACCGTTTTAATTCCAAAATGTCTCGAACCGTTCTTTCGAAAATTGCACGCTGCGCTGTTCTTCGTCATAGCTCAGTTGGAACGCCTCTAAGCAGGGTACACTGTGAAGAGCGGTTACACTGGAACCCTCCTTCTAGGAAGTGTTTCGTCCCGAAGCCTTTGAATCCACACATCAGGGTGCAATTCCCTCTACGCGCGCTCTGCCGCAACGCAGACTTGACGCGGGCCCGGTATCCACCACTCGCAGGCCAGGGTGGCGCTCCGGGGCACCAAGGACATCTGCTCCGGCACCAGGGAGGGCGAGAGGTCGGCCATTCACAGGATCGACGTTCCGAGCGGCCACGGCAGGACCGTTATCTTCCCGGTGATTCCGCTCGCCACTGGGGAGCGCTACATCGAAGTGATCGCCGTGAGCAGCGCGGGCAGTGACTCGGCCAGGGTCAAGCTGAAGATTGAGGTGAGGGCCACCGGTGGCCGAGGGCGTTCGCGCGCCGCTTCTCGGCCGGAGCGATAGCCCGTGCTGCAAGAGGCGGAGATACGACGCTCAGTCTGCTCCCCTGCCCATTTCGATGGGGTCAGTGTTGTATCGGCATCATGTCCTGTGTCAACTGTGGGATGCACGTTTAAAACCACACTCTAGCAGTCACACTGTACTGGCCAATTTGTTTTTTTTCTATCTGCATCATGTATCAGTGTCGTCAAACCCTGACAGACTAACCTCACGCTTCTAAAAATGTATTGTGTAATTTGTCATTGCTTTCATTGATGTGAACCGTCACTTAGTATGTTAGTAATAGGTGTCCGAGCGGGGCAATATTAAAAAAAAGATATAAGAAAATCCAATGAATAACATACGAATTTACTCCGTCTCACGTTTCTCTTAGGGATTGAAGGAATAAAAATCAGACAGACGGATACGTGTGTGAAAAGAAACAGGTGTTTAAATAGTCAAATTAACAACATTAAAGTGAGCGATAAAACAACTACACAAAGATGTTGGAAGGATTCAACCTAAACCTTTTGGTTGACATCCACCTGGTTAGGATAGATAGATAGATATTTATTGAAGCATGGAGAGGTAAGCCGGAGTTCGTGCTTTCTCTGGCTGGCGGAACGAGAATGAAAGAAAAAGTATAACAAAAAATTGATACGGAGCCCGACGTTGTATGGCCAGTTCGGCTCCTTGATCACGGGTGACTGCTTTTGTCCTTGTCGCCGTCTTGCAAATTGCCCGGTGTTGTTCGCTTCTTTAAAGCGGCCGTTGTATCTGCACGTACTTTATGGCTCGTAGCGCCTCACATGACACATCGCAAACCGGACACGTAGGCGCTTGGAGATGTCCCAGGTGACCGGTTGACGTTATTTTCGGTGTTCTGAATGTACCACACTCTAAAGAAAAGGGTGTTATGGGGTACACCCATAGGGGGTGTAAGTGCTTGTCACATATACTACACTCTTTGGGGGAATACTTCTACACGCCAAATATGAGAGTATGTGTACACCCGTTCGTGTGGTGCACATGTACACCTTTTTCTACAGAAATCTCACTCAAAGGGAACACAGGTGCACCCCATTCATTGGTGTACGGCTACACCACTTTCTGCACCCAATAAAATAAAAGGGAACACAGATGCACCCCATTCGAAGGCGCATGGTCACACCACTTTATGCACCCGCTTCATAACTAACTTCATAAACCCATTTAAGGCATCAAGGAAACCATTAAAGAATGCATGCGCCAAGTGATTGCAAAAAGGCAGGTAAACGGGCAAACGGGATTGTTTCGAAATCTTATATAAGTTTATTAGACAGCCTATTTCGTAAACAAGTACAAACTTGCACGCAATCCGTGACATGTGAAGAGGTACGAAGAAGCTGTTACACAACTGAGAAGATTACTAAGCAAACAAAAACCGGGGTGAGTCTTATGTAGCGTCTATTCTCCCAGCAGCCGGCAGAATTATTTCCACGAAATTCCACCGGTAGTCGCCATTCATTCATCGAACGACGTTTCATGGACAGCTGAGATTAGCTTTCCTATATTAGCTTCTTTCTTTTTTTTGCTTGTAATGAGCCGCCCCAGAATGTATCCGCGAAGTGACGTGTACGGGTGGGACAGGTGGGTTAACTTTTCGTAATGAGCCGCCGCAGACTGTCGCCACTAAGCGGCTTGAAAGGGTGGGCTGGGTCGGTGAGCACTCGCCTCAGAGATAAACGCGCGACAAAATGTCCCTACAGCGTGCATTTCGCGTAACGAGTGACGATGAAACGTGTCTACAAAACGTGTACCAACGAAAACGTGTTTTCACAAAACGCCGGGAGAATAAGAAAGTCAGTATTCTACCTGCCGTTGTCACATGGTTGCAGACAGCTAATGGCAGGTGACTGCCGATAGAATTTCGGGGAAATTATTCTTCCGGCTGCTAGAAAATAGACACTGCCTAATACTACAAGTCATCCGGAACGGAACGGTCAATTGTTGCAAAGGAGTAGGTTGCGGTGCACTTACGATGAAAATACTGGACTTGAAATATGTAATCCGAGATATATGTCGACACGGGCACTGCAGAACCACACAAACACAAAAACGAAAAGAAAGGGGTCCGTGAAGATTCAACACGATGTGGCAGAAGCAGTAATTTGCCGAATCGAACACTAAACGCATCACAGGAATTCCTCGGGCTTTTTTGAAGAAATCACTTGTCACCGATATACGCCTAGGACTTTTCAAACACTGGAAATCTTGGTACACTCGAATACGTTGTCGCGGACGAAATCTATACGGCAGCCTCGCTGGTCGCAGCACAGTATACAAGAAACTAGGCCGGGAAGCAGACATTCCGAGGTCGGAAAAAGCTGCTACGTCATCCGTGAAACCTTCACCGCATGATCACGCTCCTCTCGTTACCCGCGCCCAGACAGCAGAGTCGAGGGTTAAAAAAGCCTCCGGTGCATTGGTCCGGTGACTGCGCACCTTCTTCCACGCTTTCAGCTTAGGGAGAGAGAGAAAGAGTGCACTAAAAAAATAGCAGCTCCTTCAAGGCCAGAAGGGGGGCGCCCTCGCAAAGGCTTATCTTCAGGGCGGGCGGGGGGGGGGGGGGGGGGGGGGGCGTCCGAACAATGAACACAACGAGAGGATTTGTCAGTTATATCCTCTTGAAAGTTTGACCCACAGTTAATAATGCAGTGGATGCTATCCATGGCCTTGGCCTTCAGGAGGTGCCGTGCTCTGCCTTAAATTTAGTTTGGAGAGTGTAGTCACGTGATCCTACCCGGACACATAATTGGCCTAAAACAAGCATACCATTTACTCTATACTGCCAATACCGAGTGAACAGGATAGCCCCATACTTCCTAAGAAACTGCCCAACCCAAAAAGTGACCCCCAAGGGGGAATCGAAGCACAAGTTGATCGATGCGCGTGGCTAGCGTGGCGGTGCACTAATACACATAGAGGTTTTTAAAGGAGTGAAGGATATTCATTGTCGGTGTACAAGTACACCGGCTGGGTGGCGGAGGGTGCATCTTTCAGGAAAAGGGTGCATGTGCGCCTGATGCACCCTACTACACCCTTTTTTTTTAAAGTGTGCAGGACTCTAATAAAACGCGTCTTTGCCAGTTTCTTTCCGTGCCATGAAGAGAGCAGTGGTTCAATCCAACCGTGTGACCCTCTTTTTGGACGTGTTCTGCCAGCGCACTACCCTGCACGTTATTCTTTTTTTCGTCATACTGATGCCGGCGTAGACGTTCCGGGGAAGTTTTTAGTTTCCCCAACGTAGGAGGAGGCGCAGTCATCACAGGTGATCCTGTAGACAGGTCCCTGAGCCTTTTCTTTAGGGGGACGATCCTTCGCTTCCAAAGGATCGTCCCCCTTTTCCACGTTAGAAGTTTTAAATCCACGTCTTTCTGCCACTGTCTGATTACTGCAGCGGCCTCAGCGAAATTAACAATGCTCGCTACACCGCAAAACGTCGCGTGAATAATGTGACATCCAGCGATTCATTCCGTGTGGACGCCGCAGAATGGGCGCTAAAATTTGATTCACATGATGAGATTCTGCTCGCTATTTTCAGTCGCGACGTCGCTCAAGCTGCAAATGCGTGGGCCGTTGCTGAGATGGTCAACGTCGGTACTGATAATCACAACCAAAATCGGCCCAAGTGAATCCGGCATAGCAAGTCGGTGATGGCCACTGGTAACAATGATCAGCCTCTCCTAGTACCTACCGTTTACACCGAGCCTACCTACCCCAACCCACCTTCAATCTCAAAAAAATTTTTGAGTCCTGCAATTACCTCTTATCGCAATTAACGGGTCAACGCTTGGTCTACAGGCAGCTGTCGTTTGAACGAGTAGACGATAACAAGCGGAAACATTTGAAGGAGCACACGACAGTTCAAACGATCAGGCAGCTGTTTGAGCTTGAAGATGCACTAAACGTAGTCCGGATGTGATCCGTACAACTTGGCGGTTTTCCCGCGTTCATGTTGGAACAAAACAAATAAATCGGACGACCATAAGCATCCATGATTTCCATCCAATGTGCTTTCCGCACAAGCAATCATGGTCCGACTGAGTCGGGTTTTTATTTTTCGCAGCACCTATCAACGTTCTCGTAGGAGCCGAGCAGGCAGAAAACGCATGAAGACCTTCAAACCTTTCCCGACTCTTTTGATACAGCCCTAATCGCGGCGTTTTTACGAGAAGGCAGGTTTTTGTCTGGTTTCTTCCAAAATACCACAGGACAATAGTCTCGTATTGCGACTTCCGCCCGCAGCCCAAACCGGAAGTGCGCCTGACGCGGCACCACCGCGCGGTGACGTAACAGAGCTGAGTTCGTGTATAAAGTCTCAAACTCAATGTCGCCACCACCAACAGAAAATGGCGACGCCTATAGACCAGAATCCGGTCTGTTCCATGGGCGCCGCCCTGCTTGTTTATGCTGACCCTATGACAGAGAAGGGGGGCCGAGCTTTTTGCCAGACTCCCTTTTTTAAAACCTTCGCACTATCGTAGTGCAAGAACGTCAGAAAAGCATAGTCACGTAACTAGAGCAACACCGATGCCAAAAGTGCTGTAAAAAGAGAAGATATTGTTTTATGCGCAGCCCCTCTCTTCACAAGAGCTTGCATTTGAGTTTATTATTTCCCTTTTTTGTCACTGGTGACTAGGATTTCGGACACTGGTCTATACAGTTCAAGCGCCACAACCACAATCCTAGAATGTAAGAATGGCGTGTCGAACTTACAGGTCGACACGTAAAGCTAGATTCATTCTCCTTCAAACTTGAACAAAAGGATAATTCTCTCCTTTTATTCTATTCGTCTGTTCTTGTACGTGGTTCATCACTTTTCTTATTTTTGGTTCCAGCACAATGGTGCCCCCCGAAACGAATCTTTCAACGTACCCCTGAATCCCACCGACGTTAAGAAGCGACAACAGCGCAGCATCTTCCACGAACACTACACGGGTGAGTTTGAATGGTACCCTGCACGTTAGTTAAAAGTGATGATTGTGATTTATTACTTGCCGAAAAGTAACTGTGTACGTTACTAGTTACCGAGCTTTCAAATTTGAACACGCGCCCTTATCTTAAAAGTAGTGCGGTAAGTGCCCTGTGTCTATGGCAACCGTTCAACGTAATATTGTGCTCTTTTCGGGCCTAAATAAAATAAAAAAAATGGTAAAAGGTAATAGTTGGAAATATTTTGTAGCATATCTGTAATCTGCGGTTCGAAACATTTCTTTTTTTGGTGGTAGCGGAGTCTGGACGAAATTGTTTGGAATAAAATACTCTGTCAAAATAATCCCGTTAATATGACCTAGGGCACAGTGATTTCAGGTGACAAGGGAACGCTTAAGCAATTAGGATGTTCAGAATTAATATTAATGTGCTGCTAAATTCATGCACTTTTGGTAGGGATATTTATAATGACTTGCTTGGCTTCTAGTCCTGTATTGGTACATATTCTCTTTTTATGTTTCCGTTATGTTAAGTGTTTGGTGAGATCGCCCAAGATGTGAATACTTGATCTGGATAGGCTAACTCTTTTTGCCGAATCGCCAAAAAAGCCCCTTTTTGGAAAGATTCTTATTAGCTCGAATACCGAAAGCCTAAATTCGGGTGCACTAGTTGTAGGATGCAAGTTCCTTTTTTAAACAAAAAAAGCTGGAAAAATGTTTCAACGCTTTCTGCTATTTGTTGACGGACGCAGGTTGTAACATTTCATCTTGACCGCATCGCAGCGGTATTTGCGGATAAGATTTGTCAACCCATGGCTCATAGCACACTCAAATTTGGGAGCCACCAAAATAAAAATAGACATTTTAAGAATGGATGAAGAATCGAGGATACAGAGGACAAACACATGCACGAAGCCTTGTGTTTGTTATGTTTCTTCTGTACTTAAAATGTATATTAAATTAGTTCGCCTGCATTTTAAATTTTGCCAAAACGTGGCAGACGCTTTTTCTCTTAATTGAAAAAATCCTTTCGCATGAGTTGAGCGATTCTAAACAGACGAATGTGCACTGCGCGGCACTGTTAGCGCGACCAAGCGAACTTTGGAATTGGCAGACTTTTTCTTAGCATCTAAGGGCTGTCATCAGAACTACTAGAGAGGTGAAAAGTGCCGACTCAGGACACCAGCATCATGGGCAAAAGTTTGGTGCCTGACATACATACATACAAACGTTTATTGCATAATAAACGAGTACATAAATTTCACAGAGCCACAAAAGCACGTGTGTTTAAGTGGGCGGGACACTGTTGCAATGGATGGGATGTTACTACTCGTACACAAAGCAACGTACCCGCATGCTTCCGGCCTAAAAAAAGGTAAGAAATAAATTTGAAGCTACGTCTTACAAAACCCAACAAGTTACAAGCACGGTAAATTTAAAACTGAAAATCACAACATGCAAACGCTTATACGGAACGACGCAGCAACTTACATCCAACATAAAAAAAAAAAAAACTAACGTTATGTGGTTACAAGTGTGGTTATGCATCAACGTTATTAGACCACTATCTCAGCTCTCTTTTAGCAATCCAAAGTGACTGGCAGTGCTAAAGTCGATTTGGCAATATGTTATCATATTGTGGAGCATAACTGCCGTACCCTTTTACAGAAGTTTGTGAAAACCTTTGAAAAAACTAAGCGTTCTATTTCTCTCGGGACACTTTTCCTTTTTAGTGGCTGCTTAAACGCGTATTTATAGTAATTGTTTACTAATATGATATAAATATGCAATATGTCAACTAGCAACATCCGTAGCGACCGCATCTTTAGGTCAGTTTCGAGTTCTGCAAATTTAGTTCTATACGCAATGTTTCTCGCTAGGTTTCGCAGAATAATATCTAACTTTTTTTTCTTTATATTACGAAGAGGAACCATAAACCATTATGCCGTATCATAGTAGAAACGATTCCAGTGCCTGATAAGTCCTATATCTAGTACGCGCATCGGTCAGAAAACGAAGGCTGTATATATAAGCAGACACCGTTCATGGCGTTTCGCAGGTAGTCGATATGCGCTCTCCATGACAGATGTTCATCAAAAAGCACATGATACCTTGTGGATGACACGTATTCTAGTGGTGCGCACCTGAAGATTTTACAAGTGTATAAGGGAAGGACCAAGGGGCCGAAAGTTTTATAATTTTGTGTGTTTATGAAAGCATATTCGTTTTGTCGACGTTTACGAAAATTTGGTTGCGAGTGAAACATGCCTTTAGGTGGAATATGCCATTTTGAAAACACGATGTAGCTTCGAATACGCCATTTTCAGATAAACCCAAAGTGGTATCGTTGGCGTACTGAAAACTCCGCGGGGAAAGTGAAGCTTCCCAATTACATTAACGTACGTGTTGAAAAGGAGAGGTCCTAAAATAGATCCCTGGAGAAACTGTAATTAAGTTTCACTAACTTACTCTTAGCTTAAGAAATATTTACTAGCTGTAGACGTCCTTAAAGAGGACACTGACAGGGTATTTAATCTCGCAAAGATTTTTCTTTGTACATAACATATGAAAGCCCAACTACCCGGAACACAATTGGCGGTTCGAAATTCGTTTTCTTTCAGCCCGAAAACCGCCGATCGAGACGAGGGCCGTTTGAGTCGCGCTCACTCTCTTCTCCATGATCACGTGCCGTTTTTTATGGTTTAGACACAACCCTCAAAGATAATCAAGGTCACGGGTCATTGAAGGTGCACACATAGTACTGCGAATGTATAGAAAATATAATATCCATTTTTTGTGGCCCCGAAAATGCTGCAAACACGTTAAAAAAAAAACAAAAAAACTTGCAGAGCCACGTGGCATTTGATAACGTTTCGGTGTCAGGTTCGAGCAGTTGCGTTTTTTGGCTTTATTAAAAATATATGTGACGTTGTATCAAAATGTTGATTGGTTAGCCTTCTGACACCATAATGAATCGCCTGGCCAAAGATAAAAAAAAAACTATTTGAGGGGTGTCAGTGTACATTTAAAGGTAGTCAGCCAGGAAATCATTGAACGGGCCTCCAAAACCCAAGTGTTTTTACTTATGCATAGCAACCAGTGGTCAGTTCTGTCAGATGCCTTTTTGAGATCTAGAAAAAGATTTGGCACAAAATTGTTACGATCAATATTTTCGTGAATATGATCGAAAAGGTCTTCGCGTAATGATTGTGTGACTGCGTTTTGGCAAAAGCCGTACTGGGAACTACGCAGTGAATAATACTTCTCACTGAAAGACGTTATTGTTTAGAAGACAAACTGTCCAGGATACCATAAACAAAATAGAAATGGGCGGTCGACTTTCTGTTTGTGGGGACTGTCCCCTAGTGTACTTACAAACAACAAAACGGAAAACAGAATATCTCAATAGAGCATAATCTTGTTTCTACTTGGAAGACTTATCCCGAGGACACCATCTCAGTGTAGAGTTTGGTCAGGATGTACACTGAAAGACGTGACCGTACTCTCTCACGTTGCCGCTAGCGGGACGGAGCTGGCAGCCCACGCGGCTGCCGTGAGGCGGAACGAGGATCAAACACCGCTTGACCAGGCTCTCTCTTTTTTGTTGATTTGTATACTTCTGGAAAGTTCCGACCAATTTTAGGTCGTCGTCCTGTGTTCTGATTTGGAAAACATGACGAAGTTCAACAAGAGTTGGAAAGTGGACCACTTCGAGCTCTTTCTAAGACACGTAAATATATGAAAGAATTAAAGGAACATTCCTGAAGGTCCCACGTTTATAAAAGGAACGCCACTTTTGCGTCGCACAATGTACGATGCCCCTCTTGCTTGGTTGCATGCACAGATTCGCATTTTTAAATAGTTCTTTTGAGTTTTGCATTCGTCTACTATTTTTTATGTGAGGCAATATCTTGTACAAGTGCTTTTCTTTGTTGCCCATGTAGCGGTTCTAAAGTGTGAGAGCTGCAAACCCAAGATGGGGAGAGTCCATGGTTGTGCAACGTGTGGTGTACACGTACCCCTAAAAGTAACTAAATACTCGATACTTTTTACTCGGTCAAAATGTCACGAAAATAAAGCGTCCATTCATTTCGATGAAAATTAGCCAAATCGTCCCATTGTTAGCGAATAAAGTAGCCAGATACAAGCAACGCGTCACGCACAATTCTGGTATAACTCCTCTACTGGCAAACGAATAATCCTTCACGGCGCTGTTGTTTACAGAGAGCTACGCCACCAACGGCCGGCAGCTTGTTCAGATCCAGCGGCCCAGTCCGGACATCGCAATTCCGGGTTCCGAGCACTGCGAGATCGGCATTATCGGTACGAAACGATTTTTGATCCACGCTGGGCCAGTCAACCCTAGAAGTGTGGCAGCATTGCTCCTTCTTTTTCGTTCAAAATGAATGTTTATAGACGTCCTAGACAAAGAAGAGTAAGCTTATCAGAATGTGATAACAAAAAGGTCGCATGAACTTGGAATCACAAATAACGCCTCTACAAAAGATGGAGCGAGTATACGCGTGCCGTGAACATAGTTTTACGTTTGATGTTTAGACCACGAAGAAAAAAATTCTTAGTTTTGTTTGGATAAACGGCTGCTCGTTTTGTATTCTTGCGCAATTGGTTTAGTTACATATGCAGAAATAATTTTATCATAGGTTAGGTTCAAGGTTCTGGTAGTTACCCGTTGTACAATAAAGTTAAAGACATCCAGGCAGAAAAAAAAAAAACCAGAAGCTCCATGCATATTCGTATTTCGTCTTATTTATTTCAATAACCATTCAAGTGTATGCTTTCCAGTGAAGCACGTAAGGCACAGATTTTCAAAAAAATCATTAGAAACATCTATGCCTCGGTTAGCTGTATTGAAACACTGTGGCGAAATTCTACCAATGCCTACATAAAAGGCATACGTTTGCAAATCAACGTTCTAACTATTCAGACACTCAAAACATTGATACGAGATTGTGTATTAAGTAATTGAAACACAACATCGTTCCTTAAGTTCGGGAAACTAAAAGTATCCATAGAATTCATAGAAAAGTATCCATAAAAGTACCGCGGCGTGCGTCGATTTGTACATTCCTGGTCTGCCTTGATGAGGCATGCGATGCCTGATGAGTCCGCTTGAATTGAAATAAACGCCGCGGTTCTGTTTTTATTTTCGTGCGTTCCAGGCGACAAACTCGGTCCGGCGCTAGAGACAATGGTCAAAAATCCCGGAAGCATCATGAGTATGCCCACCGGATGCGGAGAGCAAACCATGATCAGTCTGGCCCCAACCCTGTACGCTTACCAGTACCTGAGAGCCGTGGGAAGTATCGGCGGTCCGTACGAAGACCACGCTCTCGGCTTCATTCGTGAAGGTGAGGACGATATTTTACGCTCACTAAAGAGTTCATGGCAAAGTGAGAGCTCTGAGGATTTTGTTCGCTTCTGATGGAGAAGGGCACTTGACATCAGGTCGCAAATGATATTATGTTCATAATATATTAAACAATGTTGGTGGTGTTTGATCATCACCGGGCTGTGTAGTATGGTTATTCAGATGTGAGGAACCTTCAGGGACTATTTACCTCCCACTCATTTGCGCTGAGCTTTAGGCAGTCAGTCACTTTGCTATATATAAACGTTTGGCGTAATGTATCCGCTATACACTCCTTAGTTCAACAGCGCATCACGGAAAGAACATCCACTGCACTATTCAGCTACTAATTGTTGCACTCGCATTGATAAAATTTGTCACATATTGTTTATTAAACTGATCGAAGCGTACAAAGGACGATATCTAAAAGGTACTGCGCACTTTCTTGGGAGACATGGTCAATGAAAATATTTACATCACCTTATATTTCCGAAGGAACGTTTTTCGTTCGAGAAATTTTCAAACCAGTTTTTAATATTAATAGTGTAATTACACATGCTCAGTGTCACTAGCTAAGCTCCTCATAAAACGTGCGACACGCTCGTCTTGAATAAGATCCTTTTAGAAATATTCAGAGAGATGGAAATTTGAGCAAGTTCGTCCATACATCACATGCGACTGGCGGATTAATGTGCCCTCTTTTAGTCGCGATACAAATGTCCTGTTTTTTTTTTTTCGTCCTCGCTGTACAGGCTACAAGAGGATCCTGACTTACAGAAAACCTGACGGGTCTTTCGCCGTTTGGACCGATCATCCTTCCAGTCTCTGGTATGCACCTCTGTCGCTCCCCTCCTTTTCTTTTTAACGCGCCAGCGTTAAGGAGTCCGCGTCGCAGAAAAGCCGGCGTCGGTGGCGTTGTGACGGGAAAAATTGATTGGTCCATAGGGTCATAACGTCACAGACACGTGACCTCGCGCGGGAAAATAAAACGAACCGAAACGCTAGCGTGAAACGTGGCGTAACGCAGGGAATGAAAGTGATTGAAAAACATGACATGTAATTCCAATTAAAAGTCGCCACATGTCTCGATATGATTTTACTTGATAAAGTTATTCATTTGCCTTAAAGAAAATTTGTAGAACTTTAGGCGGGATTCGAACCAGACATGTCCGCCGCAATTCTTTTTGAGACTGCCAGAAAGAGCATGAGAAGCGAAGGAGAAGGCGATGTGAACCGGATTCAATAACGCTATCGTGTTCCACTCTTAAAGGCGAAGCTTAAGTGTCCTCCAAGTTGTTCTACTTTGCGTGCGTGTGTGGGTCCGTGCGACATGATTGATAACCGGAAGTTTCACAATGGAAGAAATAACCAAGATCCTGTACGTGATTGATTGAAAGTAAAGTAATTGTATTGCTTATATTTTTAGACAGCCGGCAGCTAATCAGGCTCAGTGGGCGTCTGGTGTCTCAGCTACAGACGGGAATGATTGTTTGATTGAAAACGTGTATTTTGAAAGACAAGGAAAATTCTCGTCTGTGAGTGGTGTGCCCTGCGATGAAGGAATGAGTTTGTGTAGTTGTAATATGGGGTTTTGTGCACGGACCCCCGAGGCGTGCTTTATTTCCCACAGTCAAGGCACCTCCAGTGGGGCTAAGCTCGGGTCGGGCCGAAACACGAGGGCACCCTATCAGGCCGGGCCCGGGTCAGTAAGACTTATGGGCCTGGTCAGGCCTTAAAAGCTGGACACGTGGAGTGCTCTAGGATATATTGTCACGAATGACAAGGTGAAACAAAGAATAACTGGGGAAACTGAAACGTTTAATGGGGGCGAACTTGTGCCGAAAAATAAAAAAAGGAAAAAGAAGATAACAGCAGAGCGTCGCGGGCGTCGAAGTCGGCGTAAGAGCAGAGTTGAATGCTGGGTCGAGTACTGCCCCTGCTTGGCACGCGGAGCCCTTTTGTACACGCCTGGGCTTCTGGAACAATCAGCGAAGAAGTTTCGGCGTGTAGAATATTCTAACCTCGAATTACTGCCTACCTGGCCAGCTGCGCGCGCGGCATTACTCCCCCCTATAAAAAGTGCATCGCCCTGATATACCACAAAACAAAACAAAGCAAATAAAAAGAACGGCAGACTAAAGGGTCATTAAGAACACATAAGGTCCATAGTCCTATCGAGCTTAGTACGGCTCCAGGCACACGACGTGGACGACTTCAGGTCTTGGTGGGCGGCGTGATGATGTTCTTGTTCCGTCGGGCATCACCTCGCAGTTCAGCTCCCCGAGGTGACGAAGTACCTTGTATGGTCCAAGGTACCGTTTAAGCAGTTTCTCACTGAGGCTGCGGCAACGGATGGGCGTCCACACCCACACCCTGTCTCCGGGCTGGAAGTAGATGTCCCTGCCACAAAGGTTTTAGCTGACCGCGTCGACGCGTTGCTGGTCTTGAATCAGGAGTCGGGCGAGCTGGCGGACTTCTTAGGCCCGTTGAGCAACCACCTGGGCGTCGTCGCTCTCATTGTCAGATGGCTCACGGGGCAGCATGGCTTCCAGCATGGTTGTTACCTTCGACAACCGTGTACCAACTGGAAAGGTGTGTATCCAGTGCTCTCTTGAACCGCCCTTTTGTAGGCAAACGGGACGTAGGGAAACACCTCGTCCCACGTCTTGTCAACTACGTCGATGTACATAGAGATCATGTCGGCTATTGTCTTGTTGAGTCGCTCCGCCAGCCCGTTGGTCTGCGGGTGGTACGCAGTGGTACGACAATGGCTGATGTGACTGAGCCAGAAGATTTCTTGGGTCAGCTGTGCCATGAACGATGATCCGCGATCTGTAATCAGCACTTCGGGAACGCCGTGCTGGAGGACGATGGACTCGATGAAAAACTTGGCGACTTCAACAGCAGTCCCTGAAGGAAGGGCTTTCGTTTCTGCATACCGCGTGAGATAATCTGTGGCGACGATTATCCAACGGTTTCCCAGGGTCGACAGCGGAAAAGAACCAACCAGATACATTCCGATCTGCTGGAACGGTGCAGTTGGTGGAGCAATTGGCTGCAGGAGAGCTGCCGGCTTCGTCGGCGGTTTCTTGCGTCGCTGGCACTCGTGGCAAGATCGGGTGTAGAGGTGGGTGGTTTTGGGGAGCTTGGGCCAGTAATAGTTTTCACGAATACGGGCCAGCGTCCGACTATAACCAAGGTGTCCGGACGTCGGGTCGTCGTGGCAGGCTTGAAAGATCTCCTCCCGAAGGTCGGTCGGGATAACCAGCAGCCAGGGCAAGTTGGTGTCACTGAAGTTCTCTTTGTAGAGTTCACCTTGTCGAATGGCGAAGGTCGGCAGGACTCGTGAGAAAACACGGGGCACGGTACTCCCGCTCCTTTCCAGGTGCTCAGTTAATGCGCGCAGCGCAGGATCGTCTCGTTGACGTCGTACCAGGTCGTCGGTGGTCACTGCTCCTATGAAGCAGTCGTTGTTATTGTCGCCGCTGCTGCCGGAAGGTGTCTCGACAGGGGCCCTGGACAGGCAGTCGGCGTCGCTGTGCTTGCGGCCCGACTTTTAGACTACAGTCATGTTGAACTCTTGAGGTATAAGACTAAACCGAGCAAGGCGTCCTGAAGGGTCCTTGAGGTTCACAAGCCAGCTGAGCGAGTGATGGTCTGTGACTACGCAAATCGGGCTTCCGTACAAGTACGGACGAAACTTTGTGATTGCCCAGACGACCGCAAGGCATTCACTCTCAGTCGTGAAGTAATTTTTCTCCACCTTGAACAGTGTCCGACTTGCGTAGGCGATGACTCGCTCGGTGCCTTCTTGCACTTGAACTAGAACCGCTCCAAGTCCTGCATTACTAGCGTCCGTGTGAATCTCGGTTTTCGCATCTTGATCAAAGTGTCCAAGGACAGGAGGAGTCTAGTGTCTTCGCTTCAGCTCGTTAAATGCCTGCTGCTGCTCTTCGGCCCTTTCGGGCTTCTCGGCGTCCGTCGTGAGGTTTGTGAGTGGTGCGGAAATCCTTGCGAAATCCCGAACGAAGAGATGATAATAGGCACAAAGTCCAAGGAATCTTCGCAAGGCCTTATTTTCTGTTGGCGCTTTAAAATGCCGTGACGGCGCGAGTCTTCTCGGGGTCTGGGCGGACGCCTTCGCTACTAACCACGTGGCCTAGGAACTTCAGTTCTTCACAGACGAACCGGCACTTTGAAGGCTTGAGGGTGAGCCCGGTGGTCTGTATGGGTTAGAGAACCGCACGGAGTCGTTGCAAGTGCTCGTCGAAGTCAGCTGAAGATACTATGACGTCGACAAGGTAGACGAGACAATAATACCTTTCACGAATACGGGCCAGCGTCCGACTTTAACCAAGGTGTCCGGACGTCGGGTCGTCGGGGCAGGCTTGAAAAATCTCCTCTCGAAGGTCGGTCGGGATTACCAGCAGCCCCGGTGAGTTGGTGTCGCCGAAGTTTTCTTTGCAGAGTACACCTTGTCGAATGGCGAAGGTCGGCACAACTCGTGAGAAAACAAGGGGCACGGTACTCCCGCGCTCTTCCAGGTGCTTAATTAATGCGCGCAGCTCAGGATCGTCTCGTTGACGTCGTGCCAGGTCGTCATTGGCCACTGCTCCTAGGAAGCACTCATCGTCATTGTCGTCGCTGCTGCCGGAAGGTGTCTCGACAGGGGCCCTGGACAGGCAGTCGGCGTCGCTGGGCTTGCGGCCTGGCTTGTAGACTACCGTCCTATAGAAAGCCGCGCGCGCAGCTGGCAAGGAGCTCGATGGAAGTGAGCGGCTCGTACTTGCACGGCCCGTTCAATGTTGGTTGCCTCCGTTACAAACGTTTCGACGGTTATAGGTGTACATCGCACCAGGCCTCCGAAGATGCTCGCCTTGACACCTCGCATCAGGATTCTCAGCTTCATGGCTTCGGAGGCTTGAGAATCCTCGCGGTTGCTGAGTTGAAGAACATCTTGGACAAAGCTTACGACGCTCTCGTTGGGGCCTTGGATTCTCGCTTGAAGAAAATCTTTGGCGCGTTCTTTTCGCTGTTGGTTGGTGAACGTACCTCGGAGCTCAGCCTTCAGTTGCTCCCAGGAGGTGATCGACGCTTCGTAGTTTTCAAACCAATCTTGTGCTGTGGCCTCCAAAACGAAGTAAACGTTTTGAAGGCGCTGCTCCGGTTTCCATCCGTTATGGCGGGCCGCTCGTTCGTAATGTTGCAGCCAATCTTCGACGTCCTCGTGGACCTCCCCGTGGAAAGGCGTCGGAGTCCGGGGTGCGACGGGAAGGTAGACGACGGCGGCGGCGGCCGGGGTCTGTGGCGGCTGGTTGTCCATCGTCGGCCTCGTTGGCTGCTTGGTCCTAGGTGGCAGAAGTCCGTACTCCGGGGGTAGACCTTGGGTGCGGCGACATTATCGGGTCTCAATCTTGTCTTCGTTAAGTCCTCGGGAGCTTGGGTTCGGACTTGTACTACGGGAACTCAGAGCGCTGCGCTGCACGACATGTGGTACCCCGCACCTCCACCACAATGTCACGAATGACAAGGTGAAACAAATAATAACTGGGGAAACTGAAACGTTTGATGGGGGCGAACTTGTGTCCTAAAATAAAAGGGAAACAGAAGATAACAGCAGAGCGTCGCGGGCGTCGAATGCGGCGTAAAAGCAGAGTCGAACGCTGGGGCGAAAACTACCCTGGCTTGCCACGCGAAGCCCCTTTTGTACACGCGTGGGCTTCTGGAACAATCCGCGTAGAAGTTTCGGCGTGTAGAAAATTCTAACCTCGAATTACCAACATGGTTCTCCAATTTACCAGAACATCACATCAGAGTCAACAAAATGCGTACACCCTTAGAAAAAAGGGTATGGATAGTCCTCCCTTAGGGGGAGGAACGGTCTTGTAACCTATGTTCCTTTAGAAAGGGAGAAACTTTCGTCCCTGAAGCAAGAAAGCAACTAGTTCCTCCGTCGCCTGCATCTCATTACGGCGGCCCTGAATCGAGCAAATCGAGCTCAATAAGGCTTAACGAGGACGCTACGTCTCTTGTACGGGACGAGAGGAGCAGCAAATAAAAGCGTAACACGAGATTTTCGCGAACTGTGTTTATTTCCGAAGCCAGATTCCCCCTACAGGTACAAAAACTTGCGTTTTGAAAGCAGTTACTCAGTCTTTTCGTCGACAGCACTGCGACGTTAAACGGAGACAACCGATACCCAGTTCCTTCGCGCACTTTACGTCTTACCTTTAGTGTTCCTCGGGTCACAATTACTTCGTCGACCGCACATCACCGAGGAATGGAAAACTCAATCCGTGAAACCAAAAGCCGCTCTCAAAAGAACAAACTCGAAGCCGCTGTTTATCGCGTAGCGTGAAAGAAGGTTAAATCGTTTGCCACCAGATGGCAGGGTCAAGCAGAGTAATTGCAAGTAGCTAGGCTATGTGGCGCTAGGTACTGCCCAATTCATGTTCTACAAAAAAAATAAAATAAAAAAAGTATTTCATCAGGCCACCATAGAGCTTCGGGAACCTCTACTATACACATATTAAGCATACTACAAGCATCAGGTGATCATACATTGAGCACATACACATATATGGCACATACAAACACCAATACAAACGGCACACTAACCCGAACACTACAGCCGAGCTCTGCGTTTCCGTCTCTTATACTGGTCGTTTTGAACGTTCGGAATTTCTCGGTGACTGAATAAGCAATAAAGAAATACTCCCACCAAGTAGATTTTTTTTTTCAGCAATGTCATACCTCTGAGAGTATTTAGAATGGCTCAGGGGATGAATCTCTTATTAAAAAACAAACGCTCGATCATGCCGTAATTATTTGAAAGCCAGTAAATCAAGCCGCTCCAATGGGGTTCGAAGCCATGAGTTTGTTTCCCCACACGGCACGTCGTTGCCTGTATTTCTATTATAATGTTTGTTTTTCTATTTGTCCTGTTCGCGCAAGGCTGCAATTGCCGTCTTGAATTAATCTCTGTAAAGCGGATATTCACTCAGCTAGAAGTGATGCTTCACGGGCGGAGAAATCGCTTTTCGATCAACTCGAATGCAGTCAAAGCCGCGACTTGCGGCAGGTGTTAAGTGTACGGAGCTACGCTGTGGCGAGCTCGAAAACTTCTAGCGCTCATCCCAGCGCGCCACTTGGAGGGCAGTTCCTCCAGGAACCGTAGTATATTTAAACAGCAAAATGAAAAGGAGCTTTTTTTTCGATTTTACCTAGTATTCTTTTTTAATGCTAAAATTCCATACTGTAAATATACATACTTTCCGTCACGATTTCGTACTGTTGAGTCCTTTCCCCAGAGCTCAATCGCTCTCGCGGACGAGACAACCGACAGTCACATTGGCCACTGTACGATAGGAGCTATGTTCAGACCAACGTTCCAACATGACTATCCGCACGTCGATCGATTGCACCTAATCTCTCAAGTGGTATTAAACTTGTTAATGTAAAGCGGAATGTCAACCTGCGACACCCCGCCCCTTCCGATCACGGCCCGACTAGCGGCATCACTGCCCGACAGTTTACGCCATCTCATATTGTTGTTACACCACTGATACGCGAACACACGTTCACTTCGGCGGTAATTCTAGTCTTTTGTTCACAGCCCAGAACACTGCCATCACGATGTTGGTGCTATGTTGCTGACACGCACAAATACAGAACCACGTTGAACGTTAGTTGCACTCGGCATCGGAAAAAAAAAAAAAAAAACGGAACTCAGCACGGAAGGCACCCAGGCAGCCGGCAGGAAAACCTGCCTGCCTGGGACGCAGTTCCTGCGATTTCCATAACGTCGACACAGTTCCGGGTGGTTCCGCTACTGTAGCGACTGTAGTTACGCGTGGGCCCCGCAATCCAGAGACGGCCGTCTTACCCAATGTACGTAGTACTCCTGGCACTGCTCCGGAACTTCGCTGTTTCTAGCGGCTCCGTTTGCTCGTTTGATAAAATTAGTGATAAAAACGTCAATGCAACCGAAATGTTCTGCACGTTTGGACTACAAGACGGAATTACAGGCGGCCTTCGCTGAGGCTTAATAAACTCAACGGCATTTATAAACAACGTGCGCGACCTGCTTGAAAACCGAAACCGAAAGAAGAAGAGTCGGGGGGGGGGGGGGGGGGGGGGGGGGGGTGAGCTTTCTCCCGTCTGCCTGGAGAAGGAGAAAAACCTTTAGTTCCTCCCTTTTTCTCGTGTCCGCTTGGGGGCGCGTCAGTAGAAGGGAGGAAGACGGGCCGTTGCTACTTTTTAGAGCGCAGCTCTTAGGCACCCGTTTCCGGCTTGAGCGGCGTCGCCGTCGGCGTCGGCGTGACCAAGGTCACCCCAAAGTCAACCCAAGATCACGTGACCCTCCCCGAGGTCACGTGACCCCTCCCAAGGTTACCTCAAGGTCACGTGACCCCCAATGTCACGTGACCCCCAAGGTCGCCCCAAGGTCACGTGACCCCCCCCTCTCCGAGGTCACGTGAAACGGCGGATCTTTAGAACGCCGTCTGACAGGGGTATAAGACTGCCCTGCATAATGTCCCCGGTGCGTCAAGCTGTTAAAAGGAGGTTTCGAATAGACGTTCTTTATGGCCTAGCATCATGAAGGCACCCCATGCGGCATTTTACCTTCTACAGCTAGCACTCGACTATTGACTCTTTTTATTTCGGACGATGGCGATAGCTTCACTTCGCAATGGCACGCAGGCTGACGGCGTTTGTCCTTCGGAACCTGTGCGAAGCCCGAAAGTCAACCATGATCGACGAGGCGGTGATAACCAGCGGATTGCGGTATATAATGACGCAACAGCAACAGAACGGAAGCTTCAAAGACGCCTATCATCTGCACCACAAAGAACTTCTGGTACGTCCTCCAGCATCCGTCGGCAGTGTCGAGCGAATATTTTCTTACGATAGATGGTATACTTTGATCACTGTTTGCGGAGTGTTAAACGATACGAGTGCTTCCGCTTCTGCTACGTTGTGCAGGGCGGCGTTGACGGACCGGTGCCTTTGTCGGCCTACGTCCTGCTCACGCTGCAAGAATGCATCAAGGATGGGGTCAGGGTAAGTAGAGGCATCCACCTTCCTGACCTGTTTGACTATACCCGGGGGTGTCTTAGAAACTGTCGATTCATCTTTCTGAAGCCGCCGGTTGGGAGCAAACTTTATTCACAAGAAAGTGACCTAAAATGGCACTACATTCCCTCGCTGTAATATCATAATTGAAAATACGCGAATAAATTACTCAAAAATGTTTATAAAATTCTTTAGCAATAAAATCGCCAAATTTTAATTACTATTTCAACTGCTTATTATGTGATTTGATCATGTTGGAGTTTAGTTCTACGAAGTCCCTCAAAGAATAAGAAACACTAAGCGTCTACTTCGTCCTTTTAACAGCTCGTGGCACGTCGGAGGTGCCAAGATTGCGCCCTAGTGCCGGCCGTCTAGGCAACCTAAAAGAACGGGAGGCACTCACTTGATCGAATGACGTTTTAGCGAACGCCCACGTTTCACCGAATGACACTTGAGCGAATAGTCGGACGCCGTGAAGCGGCGTTTTCGGGTGGGCCAAATGGGTTCACATTTTTGTAATGAGCCGCCGCAGACTGTCGCCGCGAAGCGGCGTAAAGCGCAGCGCGGCGGATGGGTTAACGCGCGTTCCCGTTATTCGCTAAAACGTCGATTCGCTCAAATGTCACTGTTCGCTAAAATGTCATTCGCTCATGTGATATGGACCCCTAAAAGAACTCTTGATGTCAAAGAACACGCAGAGGGACACATATTATGCTCCACGTAAAGCGTGATGTTCTCCGTTATTAGGACGGAGAAACAAATTCGCCCTTTCGCCGTACTAGCGTGACAAAGCCAGTGGTAAAACTAAATGTGAAGTGTTAGTGTGAATAAACTGTGTGCGCATGTGGAGACTGGATGGCGCGAAGCGGCCCGGTGTCGTGCAAGGCAAGCGTGCACGCGCTCCATTGATGCCTTGCTTTTGGGTGCCATCTTCTGTGGTTGCAGTTGAAATGCGTTTTCTCAGAGCCTATTGAAGTCGCAGCAGACGCAGCGGAGAGAGCATTCGGAAAACAGAACAATTAGAACGCGGCAGCGCCGAGAAGAGCCATGGCACCAGCCCGCGACAAAAGACAACCAAACACTCGGAACAACCTCAACCCGTTGCGGCAGAGGAGCCTTTTTTTTTTGTGTGTGTGTGCGTCAGTTTTCTTTTGTTTTCTTTTTGCGCGCATTCCATTGGGAAGCCGGAGCTCGCACGTTTCACGGAGCAGAGCGCCGCTGTCTGCCTTAACATGTGATTTACACCCGCCTGGAGTAAAGCGCGGTCCAAACCGACACGCATTTCTCTTGCGTGTGCCGGAACGAGTGGAAATAGTAGGCACAGTTTCCGAACAGGCAAATATCTGGAGTTACTTACGGTTTCCCAGTCCCTGCAAGCAGCTATCGGAAGCAGTCGGCTGCTTCGCACCCATCAGAACAAGTCACCGCTTTCAGGGCGAGAGAAGCAGCAATTGAAAACAGAACACGTGCCTTTCGCTAACTGTTCCTATAGTGCCAAAGCCAACTCCCCGCGCAGGTAAGGAAGCTTGAGTTTCGAACGCAGTCATATAGGTGTCAACACTGCGAGGTTAAACAGAGACAATCGAAACCCGGCCACTTCGCGCATTTCACGACTTACTTTCGCTATTCCCAAAGCCACATTTATTTATTTATTTTTTTTTGTAGCACCGCACGCCACAGAGGAGTGATAAACCATTCACGAAAGCAAAATACGCTCGCAGAAGAGCTCATTAGAAGCAGCTTACTAGGAACATTGTTGCACGGTAACCTGAAAATGCGCGTCGCGAAGCGTGTGAGAAAGTTAAATACCTCGCCTCCAATTGGCAGGGTTGGCAGGATCAAGCATAACCTCCGAGATTCCGAAGCGCGCGCGCGAAGGCTTCTTCGGCCGTCCCATTCGACTCGCTTTCCAGCGGTACGGGTGTCATTGCACTAATTCTGTCGCTCGCCGCGAGGTGGCGACGTCCTCCTAGTCATCACAGAGCAACGAGCCGTCGGCGTCGCAACCACCGCGGTTGGCTGGTGTCAGGGCGTCGTCGGCAGTGTTTTCGAATCGTGGGAAATTTCGCATATTGTTGGAAAAAGCATGACCAATGGAAAAAGGGAAACCAGAATTTAAACACATAGAAAATCGTGGGAAATATTTTTTAACAAAAAACTTAAACAAAATTTTGTAATTTTCTTATTTACATCGAACAAGAGAAAGGAAGTGGCACTAGCTACTCAGACATTTTTCTGTTTTAAAGAGCCAATCTAGTTCATCACGACTTACATCATCTGTGTGCTGCAAGCCTGCCGGTACAGTACTGCCGGGTCGTGCGCTTTCTTCACCGCTAGCTACAGACACACGTCCTGTCAGTGCGATAGATCATAGAGTGCACAGTGGGTGCGGTCCCTTTCACAACACGAAAACGAGCAGGCGATTTTTGTTTAGCGTAGTTAATGGCCCGCTTGCCTTCATTTAGTTCCCCTGGTTCGTTCAACCAATGTATAGTGCGGAAAAAAAGGGGAAGAGAGAGCGGTGTGCCGAATTTCAACTTCTATATTTTTTAATTTATGCGATGCAAACTTTTACAAAACAAAAACATACGGGAGGTGTTGCTGCACTTAAATATACTTGACGCCACGCGTACTTTAAAAACGACTTCTGTATCTTAAAAGGTGCTGTGGGGAAAAAAGGGAATTTTCGCCGCTCGACGAGAGAAAAACCGAAGTGGCAGTGTGGCAACACTGGCTTCGGGCTTCGTCTAGCGTTGAGCCGGGCTCCGCGGTCTGTTATCATTTTGGCAACTTCCTTGTCTGCCGAAATATCTCAGGTGGTTGGGGATGGGAATCTCGAGGGGAGAAACGAAAAGGTTTCTCTGCCGAAACAGCTTTCTAAAAAGCTCACTTTACGCGTGTTCTGCGTTTTTACGACAGCTCTTATGGGCCCTTCTCCCATTCAAAATGATGCAGGAAGTCTGTCGTGTCACGTGACTTCAGGATGTTTTGTGACGTCACAATCTTACGTGCCGCCACACTGTCATGTGATATAATGTCACATGACGTCATAATCTAACGTAGCTACGCGGATAGTTTTATGAGTACGAATGGGTGTGGTCACTCTCCGAGCAGACATTGGCGGTGCTCCCTGCACGTAAGATGCGAGATCCAGAAGCATACTTTAGGGTTCGAGAAGGTGCGTTAGCTATCCCTGTAATTGCAAAGAAAGCCTAGATTGCAGAGAGGGACGTCCATCTCAAACCATGGAAAGCGTTTGCAATTTCATGACCATCGACTCCCGCGACGATTGGTCGCAAGTGCGCATGCCCAGCGTTTTCACATGGTGAGGAGGAAAGGCAAAGATGCTTGCAGGCGACAAATGCGAATATTTGACAGCGCGCTCGCCACCTATGGCAGTGCTGGTAACTGTCAAAAAAGCTCTTGACATTGGTGTTTCACATATTAGAAGGCACGCACTGCTTAAAAAGTTAACACCACTGATTTTGCGGTATGTAGAGAAATGCCCCCTTCTAGGGTGCCCAGCAAGGATTGACCACGAAACAAAAACTTTTATAATTGCAGCATTGAAGTTTGTGCGGCGATTTCTGGCCAACATAGGCATGACTATGACAGACAGGGTAGCGTATCGGAAGAAACTGCTCGAAGCCACTGCATCGCAAAGTACTTTGCCTCTAATCTAAACATTCAATGCTTGGAATCTGTAAATAAACCAGGTTGGAAGTTTGAATACAGAATAAGCCAGGTTGCAGCAAGGTTGGAATCTATAAATAAGCAAGAGTTATTTTGCTTTAGATCTCATTGGCTGTTAGCATATCAATTAAGTTACGTATGACAAGGTGCATAACAGGATGCGGTGGTCTGTGCTACATGTGCCGAAAACGAGACGTTTACAAGATAACGCCCTACCTTTTGAATCAGCACCAACAATTATCACGAAGTCTGTAAAAGAAATGGAGAAATCATTAAGAGCTGGTCCAATCTCACCGCCATAATTTTTTCCCTAAAGCCGGGGTCACGCTGCTTATACATCATGCAAAAGCCAGTCTGCGAACATATTCGAACGCGAGTCATTACGAGATCTGAGCCTCGAATGCCGCAAGGCAACGAGTTCAAGGAGGCACTTGGCGCGCGGCATTCGAACCACGGATATTGTGGTGACTCATATCTGCAGGCCGTCTTTTGTACGATGTAAGCAGTGTGACTCCGGCTTAAAGGTGCTTCTAGTAGAAGAAAACACCACATTATGATTAAAACGCAATTAATGCAAAAGTGCAAGCGAGCTAGACAAGCATTACAATAATAATCCCCGGAGAAGGGGAATAAGGGGGACAAAGGACAAACACAAAACTTCAAACACAGCGACGTTACTGGTGCGCTACCGAAAAAATCGGCCTGGTCCTATTATCAAACCAGGGACCTCTCCATTTCCAGTGGACCTTAAAATGCAAGCCGTTCACCATTGTTTGTGTTGGCAGCTGATAAACCCGTTTGCTCTACTGACGTCTAGCTTCTAATTAGCTCAGTTTGTGGAGCGCTCCACTTGAAATGCAGAGGTCCCTGGTTCGATACCAGGACCAGGCGCAGTTTTTCGGTCGCGCACCGTCACCTGGCTGTGTTTGGAGATTTGTGTTTGTGCTCTGTCCCCTTCATTCCCATTCTCCAGGGATTAATATTGTCCGCACAATATGACCCACATAAATTGTGTAATAAATTATTAAAAAAATATTAAAGGACGGACAACACGGGCTGCACTGTATAGTATCGAATCTCGTGCTCAGGCTCAAAAAGCAACGTGAAACAACGTATGGAGATATAAAAACACTAGAGCATAAATGATTTTATTTGGGGAAATTGAGATTTCTTATGTAAGGATCTAAATTTGTTCCTGGATGTTTATACGCGCTACAGATTGCAGTCAAATTGATCGAAATGCGCAGTTGTAGCGCTAGTCGCCACATGTCCAGATGAATATCTCAAATTAAATGAGGATCACAACTTGTCCATCTACTTCCCCAGAACAGCTGTTCACCGTTCTACCACAAGGCAGAAAAATCTGTAAGTAGAAACTGCAATAATTCAACGTAACACGACTTTTTTTTTTTTTAACTCTTCTCCCTTACGCCCTTCTGAAAGTACTGAAACGGCAAATTGGGTTCCTGGGTTGAGAGCGCCTCCTCGCGGAGAGACGCCGCCTCTTCCTCTTTTGCCGCTTACACCCCTCCGATACTCAGAAGCGTTCGCGCGCATCGGAGTAGCGGAAGCCATGGGCCAAGCAGAGTAATTGCAAGTTGCTAGGCTAGGTGGCGCTAGGTACCGTTCAACTCATAGACTACAAAAAAATATTCTGCCAAATCACTCCACAGTCGCGCTTTGGGCATCTTTATCATAGACACATGTACATACATTACGCATACCAGAAACAACAGCTGAACATATACGCATATACAACGAGCGCATACGGATACACAGCACATACAAAACATCAACATGAACGCGCACTAACCCGATTACTACTTGCGAACACTGCGATCCTTTTTATGCTCGTTGCTTTGAAGGTACTTATTTTATGAATGATCACTTAAGCAATACATAATGCTCCCAGTATGTTGATTTTTTCTCAATAATGTCATGCATCAGGTGTTTTTAACGGCCCAAGCAATGCATATCTTAGAAAACAGGAAACGTTCATGCCGTAATTATTTCGGTCTGCCGATAAGAAAACCGCTCGACTACGGTTCCTAGCACCTGTTCGTTTCCACGCAAAGCACGTCGTAAAATCATGCGAGAAACGGCAGTTTTTTTTTGTTTTTTTTTATTGTAGTATTTTAAATTTAAGTTTATTTGACATCACCAAGTACAAAATACAAAATGATGTCTGGAGCACTTTTTGCTTATACGCTATTTGTTTGCGGCTGCATGCAATCGTCCTCTTAAATTTACCTCTGCAAAAGACGTATTCACTCAGGGTGGGACGGTGCTTCAAGTGCAGAAAAATCGCTTTTCGGTCAACATTAATGCTGTCAAAGCCGCAATTTGCTGCAGGTGTTGGGAAGGGCTAGTTACGCTGTGGTGAGTTCAAAAACAAGCGTCTTCGCCACAAGTCGAAAAGATCCAGATATAACGCAAAAGAAATTTTCCTAGGACCACGTCGGTCTTTCTGTTTTTTTCTCATTTTAAGCTAACATATACGAGACTGTACATATACGTGCTCTCCTTCACATTTCGAGCCTGTTCAGCACTTCCCCAAAAGCGCCATAGTTATCTAGCAAAGGAGAATAGTCCATTGCAGGCGAGAGTTATATTGGCGCATACGATCAGAGCTACGGTTCAGACCAGCGTTCCGACATGAACCGCATGTGGATCGATCGCATGTCATCGGTCAAGCGGTCTTCCTAAACTCTTTCATGTAAAGCAAGATGTAAACCTGCGACGTCGCCTCATCTTGCTGTGATGCCGCTGGTACGCGAAACACATGGTGACATCGGCGAGTCAAAGATTCCAGTCTTCGTTCCCAACGCACACTTCCATGGCGATGTTGGAGTCACGCGGAAACACAAAACCACGGCGATCGTTGGTTGGTTGACACTCGGTGCAGCGGAAACGGTCATCTTAGCGCAGTACAGGGTACTCACTGCTCCGGAACTTGGCTGTTTGTAACGCACTAGTTTCTTCGTTTTGAAAACAAAGTAGTGGTGAGAAGGCCAGTGGAATCGAGGTGCTCCGCGAGTTTGTACTAGGAACCTGAACTACGGCCAGCGTTTGCTGCTGCTAATTCAGCTCAAGAGTGTTTGGTATACACCGCGTGCGAGGTGGCCGCAAAACGAAACTGAAGATGAGGGAGGAGGGTAGAATTTTTTTTCTTTCTGCATTTAGAAGGAAAATACGTTTCGTTCCTGCCTTCTTTTCATGTACGCACCGTTTAAGACACTTTTGAGGAAAGGACGTACTAGTCCTCTTTTGACTGCTTCCGCGTGGCAACTGTCGAAGGGCAAGACCGGTTTGAGTGGGACTTTGCTGTAGCTCCGACACAATCCTTGGGTCTGAAAAACTTTTAAGTCAAGAGACTGAAGTTACCCAGTTGCGCATATTTCACTGGTGAAGACAAGCTGTGCAACTCGGTTTTTTTTTATAAAAGAAGCCCAATTGAAGACATCGGGTCGTCAGGGGCGCAAAGGAGGCCTCCGAAGGACACATTGCGAAGCTTGTGTGACTGCATAAAACGGTCAAAGTGCCACGCGACTTGATGTCACGAGGTCTCGTCATCGTGTCGGATGACGTCACGCGAGAATGTGACTTCACGTCATTTTCCGTCACGGGACAGTTTATGTCAAATTGTCACGTTACCAAACGTGACCGGTCGATACCACCTCATATCAGACAGACTGCGAGCCACAAAGAAACCTTGAATGTGCGACGCAGGTGGACGACCTGGACGTGTCCAGGGCCCGAGCGACCAACTTCGTGGAGAACAACCTGGAGTCTGGTTCGCCGCCGTACACCCTGGCGCTTGCAGCGTACGCTCTCGCCCTGAGCGACAGCCCCAACAGACTCACGGCGCTCGAGTGGCTCAGGAACGTCGTTGTCCACGACCAGGGTACGTGTGCAGCCGCGGGAGAGGCCGACCGCCCACGCAGTGATCGGCACGGTGCCCGAGGCGCCGAGACGCATCGGGCGTTAGTCGGTGACTGGTGCCAGATGGGACTCCTCTGCGGCGTCAGGAAGACACTTTTAGTTGAAGGAACAGACACGGAAAGGAACGTTCCCTTCGTTGTCTGTTCCTTCGACAAAAGTGTTTTCCTTTTACGCACCGCAGTCTCGAGTGTTAAACAACATAATTACCTACCACCAGCTCGCCAGCGCACTTTGAGTTTTAGCCGAAAAATGCCGCGTTCGCACTCGACGCAGTCGAATTGACTTCACTTCTCACATGTCGGGGAGGAGCCTCTCTCGCAACCCTTACGGTGCGACGAAACAATTTCGCCAAGAGGAGTTTTTCCATCGCACATTTGACAGATTTTAAGCGAGCAGGACGGAGATTTGTTGTTCTATATCAACACGCGTCTTTGACATCAGATCTCTATGGTTGAGCTGCTGTGACGTTTGACTCGAATCTGGTTCCTGAACAGTGTGGGCAAACGCGGACTTGTTTCTGAAGAGCGGTCTAGATTATGTGATTATGATAGCGCCGCATCAGCTGGCGATTTCCGGCTCCTTTTGTTTACAGGTGAATACTACAAACGCAAAACTCCTGTTTTTAATGCTTACATTTTTTTATTTATTTATTTCAAAATACTATCAGTCTCTATTGAGACTATGATAGGGTGGGTATACAAGCGTACAAAAAAATACAAAAAACAACAGCATCAAGAGCAGCACACACTTGAAAAGGTACTATGAAAGATATCGCCAAATAATCGCAAAAAATGCTTTGACAATGAAAGATAACAATATAGATCCGTCATGGGCTATGATGCGTCGGCGAAAAACAATACAAACGGCAAACAATGTTTATTTACATTTCGCAAGATGCTATATAAGAAGAAAAAGCTTCGAGTGATTGGCATACCACAGCTTGCTCCGAAAGAAGATTCCAGTCACTTATGGTATGTGGGAAGAATGAGTATCTGAAACAGTCTTTGAAGAACCGGGGCTGATGAAGTGCGCGACTGTGTTTGTTCCGAGTTACTCTCGACTCGTCAGGAACTAGGTAAGCTGTTTTATCTATCTGCAATAAGCCATTAATAATCATATATAAAAATTTCAATCTTTTTTCTTTACGCCTCATCTTAAGTAATGGAATGTTGGCTTTTGAATACAGTGCCGTAGGTGAATCCAGTCGACGATATTTGGAAAAAATAAAACGTAAAGCAAGTCGTTGCACCTTTTCTAGCTTTAGCACATCTTTAACAATATGAGAGTCCCAAATTTCGCATGCGTATTCCATCAACGGACGAATGAGTGTTTTATAAGCCAAAAGTTTTGTGTTCATTGAACTCAGTTTCAAAGACCGCCTTAAATACCACAGTTTATAATTCGCTTCTTTTACAATACTATCAATATGAGCACTCCAACGGAGATCGTGAGAAATAATGACACCCAGATATTTGTAACTGCTTACCCTTGCTAGTGGATACCCTTCGGTGGCGTACGCGAATTCAATGGGCTTTGTTTTATGAGTAATAGTCATACAAACGTTTTTATCTAAGTTTAGTGACATTTGCCAAGTATTGCACCACTCACCAACGCGTGCTAAACATGTGTTAAGATTAATTTTATCGGTGGGCTCCCTAACCTCTGTATACAAGATACAGTCGTCGGCAAAGAGCCTAGCCTTAACCGTTAAATTGGACAGTATATCATTAATAAATATTAAAAAGAACAAAGGACCGAGCACTGTTCCTTGAGGTACACCTGATTTTACATCAATCAAATCGGAATGTCTATCTTTAATTTCTACAAATTGTCTTTTTCCGTACAAAAACATCTCTATCCATCTGATGAGACCTGGGTTTTTCAGAATATATTTTAATTTGAGTAATAATTTCCTGTGGTTAACCTTATCAAATGATTTTTTTTAAATCTAAAAAAATAACATCAACTTGGCCTTTACGGTTCAGTACTTCAGAAAAATCATGCGTGACTTCATCCAGCTGAGTAATAGTAGATACCCCTTTACGAAAGCCGTGCTGAGAGCTGTTTAATAAGTTGTAATGACTTAAGAAGGAGTGAATATGGCTCGAAAGTATATGCTCTAAAAGTTTCCCACATGTTGATGTTAGTGAGATTGGTCTGTAATTGTTAACGGAGGTAGCTTTACCAGACTTCAAAACAGGCACAACTTTACCAATCTTCCAGTCATTGGGTAATGAACTTGAAGACAGGGAGTCTGAAGGATTGGTTCGGCCGTATGGAAGGAATTTGGACAGGCCTTAGGGAAAATGTTTGGGGAGAATAGGAATTCTTACGCTCGAGGCTTAGCAACTCGTACATAACTCATCTTTCCTCAAATTCCATTGCAAGTTGACACGGTAAAGAAAGGTAAGTGCTCGGCGACCCAATCAACCGCTTTATCGCTCGATCCTTCGCTCTGCCAACACCAGATAGGATAAGCAAGGCCGGTGCACAAGCACTTCCACATCAGCACAGTGAGACATATTGCAGACACGGAGTGCACACGAGTGCTGCGTCATCGTTGAGTTGGCGCTATCCGAATCTGAGGGCGTTTCGTGGAGGTCCAGGAGGCTATTCGCAGGCTACGAATATTTCGGCTTGTGTTGTCTCTTTGCGGTTGTACAAAGCACAAAGATGCGTGATCACGTGGTGCGAGGCTCGTCCAATGAGCGCGTGGTGTCCACAGTTTCGTCAGCAGCTGTCAGCGAAGTAGAGCAGCCAATAGCGAAATAGCCTTTCCGAAATGTCTGATGCCAACCCTAACACCGCGTGTTTGACTGGGCTAACGAAAAGCAAAGCTGTTTACGGGGTGCGCCGCCTTGACTATGCCGCCCATCGCTGCAGCGAGTAACGCCGACCATCTCCTACCGAGTACGAGCTTCACGCGATTATAACTAGCTTCGTACTGGTAGCTATCCTTTTAGGAACACTTAGGGGATGTAAATGTTGTGAAAACATTTCACTAACAATTTTTTGACGCTGGACGTTGTGTCGATTACAATAATACCCTGTCAGAAGGGAAAGTAAATGTCATTTTAATCGAATGTCATTCACCGCTCGGCGAATCAGCTCGTGATCCTGGTTCTGCACGTGGCGCGGGCAGGCGCAGCGCGTCGTATTAAACACGCGGATTGGCCGAGCTGTAATGTCATTTTGCTTAAATGTCATTTAACGTGCCCGTCTGACAGGGTTATAAGTAAGAATGTCATGCTTGTAGACACATTTTAGTCCAGTGCTCGTCTTGCACTTCCCAACTGTCGAGTGCCCAGTTCCAAATTCGGGACCGGTATTTGTTTCCCCGCATGCCAGTGGCGGATACTCGGCATGTGCCGTCGACCACGCTACCGCTGACGATCCAGGGAACAGCCTACGCCCTGATGGCCTTCCTCTCCGAGAGAGAGAACCGGGACTACGTCGACGGATACGTCCGCTGGCTCAACGGCAAGATGCAGCCCACGGGAGCCTTGTCGTCCACCCAGGTGAGAACCGCGCATGGGACAGCCCGGCTCTCGGTCTGCGTGCACGGTCAGAGGCCGCGCACGAGGGCGGAATCGTGGAGGAGATCCAACCGGCACGCCCTTAGCGGCTAAGCTTAAAGCATCAGGCTTGGCAACAACAACCAGATAGATTATTTGTTGGTGTATCTGACGCAGCGCTCTACGTATGTAGCCTGCCAAGAGCCACAGCCGGGCGTCATCGCCCGGCTCTTGTTCCAACAGTGAAGCAACGATTGAACTAGAGTCGCAGCCAAACGACTTTGACGCATCACTTGAATCCAATCAGTGCTGGATCGACGAAATATGACATAAATAACGCAGTGCAGAAGCTTTTGGTTCTTTCAAATCCAAGTTCTGAGGGAAAGAAGTTGAACAAGGTATCAGATCGATCTCCTCGCCAATAGCTGCGGGAGCGTGAAGTGAAAAAACTAACACATTACGGCGCACAAAAACAACACTCTGTGAAGTGTTAGCATGATTCACCAACTCGCCCAAGCTAAAGTGTTGCGAAAACTAAAAGGTGACAGAGCCGTCGCGATCAAAACTGTCTAAAAGTTCACTATCGGTAGTATCGATACTTTTTCCACAAGTATAAACGGTGTCGAAAACTATCGATGATGGATCATCGATACTGCTATAGGTAAAGAACTATCGACAGTGCTATCGATAGTGCAATCGCCATTGACTGCCGATACCATCGAATGTCAACTTTTAAGAAACTATCGAGTTTTGCGAAAGCGAAAGCACGTTCCAAAAGAAGATTACGACGGATACGCACGGGCAAACAAGGCGGGCTCTGGGCAAAACATGAAATAGAAAGGAATCAAAGCATAAAGTTGCATTCGTATACAATTATTTTGAGATAAGGCAAAAATGTATTTTTTCTACCTCTCCTGTGCATATATTTTTATATATTCCGGGGGTTTAGATATCAAGCTTTGCACGTTAATTGTAAAAATAAAGGGTTAATTTAGTTTTCCTTGGTTAGTAGGTAGTGAAAACATTCGGTGGAGTTATTTAGTATGAAGGTTTTTACATGTTTGTTATATGATTGTATTAATTTTATTATTAAATATACACATTACATTTTTTGTATTTACCAGTTACATATGTGACTGGGCACTCTGCTGGGGATCACTATTTGTTTCTACAGCTAACAATTCTTAGCTAATTTCAGAAGATCAGACTTTTTAACTTTTTGCTCGTTTTTTTTTTCTTTTGATAGATTATGTAATGACAGTGTTTGAATGATTTATTTACTGGCGTAAAACACATAATCCAAATATGGCATGTCACATAGTGTAGAAGTAAATGTTTTCAGTAAATAAATTTAGCACAAATGTCGTGTGAACACTTCAAATTGAACACTAACAATTAAAAAAGCTTGTACTAGACCACGTGATTAGTTACTGGTGCTTTCATTTTCTCTGTTGTTTGAATACAATAATTTTGAAAACACAACGTTAATAGCACAAAAATAAATGAAAAAACGAAAGTTTCGATCGATCCAAGTAAGGATATTTAAAAAAAAAACACAGTATGTCATTGAAAGAAGCTTTGTGAATAAAAAAAGACAATATTGTTTTATTCATTTATTAAACCTGTTTAGGCGAAAGAAACGTAGTTATATTTTCATTAACATCCCTAAATTTTCGCATTCGATCATTATCGCGAGCATCATATTCAAGCAGAATATCGAATTTCTCCGATGCCTAGTTTCCTTAGCACGAGTGGCACAGGGAATTTTCTTTTCCAAATCGAAATCTTTCTAAAAAAGAAAGAAAAAGAAAAGAAACAAGATTCAAACTCTCAAGAATTATTCTAAAACGAAAGAAAAATCTGCAAATTTCAATATCGCTGGTTTATTTGTAATCTTTCCATAAAATACAATTGACAGTTTCTTATAGCATATTTCGAATATTTGTTAAGGAAAAATTCTAGCGTTTTGTTTATCTATAAATAAATTTTAGATTATTCTTAGATAATTATACCAAAGTCCCTTATTGCAGTTGGTCTTTTGTGGAGCTTCACGTAATTTCCTAAATGGACTACACATCCTTCGACATGTAAATGGATACTGTCGATAGCTTTACGAAAGTTTGCTGTCGATAGTCGATTATGCATAGTATACAATCGATAGTTTCACGATAGTCGACTATCAATCATATGCTACCGACAATACTATCAATATTTTCCCATAGTTGACTATCGACAGTACGTGGATAGTCGTTTTTTACTGTCTATGAATAGACTTGGTTTCCACTATCGATTGTAATGATAGTACTGTCGACAGTTTTGCACCATACACGGCCGTGGAGGTGCATTTTCTCCTAGCCTCCTTGCAAAACAATTTACTCGCACTCTAACGACTCTCCGTTGCAATGTGTACCTAGAAGAAGCAGAGGGTGTAACTAGGAAGGACACGAACTATAATACAGTACCTTCCTTAAAACGTCCTTGGAGTGCCCCGTAACACTTTTGCCCACGAACGTCGAGGGTTTACTTATCTTGTACAGCCTGCTAAGGACATCCCATGGAAAGAGAGCTTAGGGTCATCCTAGGCCTATGTTAGCTGTATTTCCAGGTGGAGTTCAGTTGTAAGTGCGATAACTGTAAAATGCTACTTTAAGGGTAATAGAATGTCCGTAGGCTAATTAGGCCGACTGCAGCGAAAATTCCATAGGATTGCGCTTCAAGTGTACTGTATGTCCGTAGGCCAATTTTCTATAGGGGCTTCTAGGAAGGATCAAGAAGGACGAGTACCTAAAATTTAGAGCATGCTGATACAATGACAATAGAACGTCCGCAGGCTAGTTTTCTATGGGAGTTTCTTAAAGTGATTCTAGAACGGCCAGGGCCTAATTTACATAGGATGCTGATTCAAGGGTAATAGAATGTATGTAGGCCAGTTACTATAGGAGACCTGTAGGAAGGTTCTAGTACGAACAAGGTCTAAACTTGATAGGATGCTGATGCATGGGTAATAGAATATCCGTAGGTCAATTTTCATAAGAAAATCTTCTAGAAAGACCTTAGGACGACCAGGTCCTAACTTATATAAGGTGCTAATGTCAGGGTAATCGAATGACCGTAGGCCAGTTTTTAATAGGAGGCTTCCAGGAAGATTCTAGGACGACAAACACCTAAATTTCGTAGAATGCTGATACAAGGGCAATGCATATCCGTAGACCAATTTTCTAAAGGAGGCTTCTACAAAGATTCTAGGACGACGAGGTCTTATTACACCGATAGCTGATATCGGCTCTTCCCGCCACTGGAAATGACGTCCGTTGTTGATGTCGTCGATGTGCACCTGTACAAAATAAATTATCTCAAATGGCGTGACAGCAGACCGCTGCGTTCAACACGCTTGTGCAACTTTGCCCAGCTTAATTTGCGTACTCGGCCAATTAATTGACATCAAGCGTTCGAAATGAGACTCCATTTGGTGTCAACATTTCCGTTTCGTGAAAACTAATCTTAGCCGTTATTTAGCACAAGCTAAATAACGGCTAAGAATAGTTTTCATATATTCGTAAAATCTGTGTGAAGATGCTTATTTTGGTACATTTTGAGCAATGTAGGATAATCTCTTGGTACCTAATTTTTTCATATGTTTCTAAAACGTGCTTAGCTTACGTGTTTTGTAGTTTTTTTTTTCTATACGTTTTTCATTGCAATTTTTATTATTTTGAGCACATGTTGGAAACCTTCTATAAAATAAGTAAGAAAAATTATTACTGCATTCATATTTCGGTGTAACGTTGAAGGCTGTGTGAAGTATCATAGTGAAACCTTGGCAGTCTACACTACCCGAGCTTCGAAATTGCATCTCTCCAGAAAACAATTAGCTACAACGTTCAACGATAGATGAATGCTCTTCCTAGGAACAGCGCTTTCACATACTTGTTTTTATATACATATAAAAAAAGATGAGCCGCACCACCATTGCCGGATCTGAAGTAGATACTGCCTCTAGTTTAACGAAGGGGAAGCTAATGTTTCCTCCCCAGATGTTAACCCTTGGAAGTAAGCGTAAAAGTGCGCCCGTTAGAAGGTCCTTTTCATAGTTAAAAAGAGGATCAAATTATACTGTAACAAATAGAGTTGCCAGAAACTGAAGTTTCTTGTGTCTTAAGTCAACCCTAAATTCACTGGGTCCTGGAAAGTTAAGGCCAAGCTCTCCGTATAATCGACATATCGGTTCATAGAATGAGCTTTTTTTCTTGACATCTTCATTCTTGGTGGGCTGTTTCAAATTTCCAAAGACAGCTTGCTTTATATAGTAATTGATTAAATGCCGAGGTCTTGGCACCGCCACCACATGCGGCGTTTGTAGTTGGTTCCATTAAAAACAATCCTGTCTTGAAATACGCAAGAACAAGAATACTTTTGGAAAATATTGGTAGAGATAACAATGACTGATAAGTTGATTGCACAGGGCCAGATGAGTTCACATTGTTGAGAAACACTTTCAGTCCGATGATGCTCCGTAGCGATCTTGGTGCGACTGATTCAGGACAACCCTTTCGAAGCCTCGAAAATTTGAATAGATCGAAATGACGATTGGCCATAGCAATCGAGACCGACCAGCCAATGACATTGAGAGGTTTGTTCATCTGCATGCTAGTATCGGTCTGTGTCCGGCTAGCAGGCTAGGAATGCAATGGCCTTATTTTCCCAGGGTTTGATGACTTTAGTCAACACCACCAAGATACTGGTAAGGCATGTATTCTCCATGACATAATGTTAATAAGTGCACGGACATCGCACTAATGGTTCGATAACAGGTGCAGCAGGCAGCACTAAAGGGCCTTGATACTTCTTTTACAAGTAACGACAACCAATACAAATGACAAAGCACATTCCCCTGAAACGAAATGGTGGCATTTAGTTCAAACCTCTGCTGTGCGCCGCCATTGGCTTCCTATAACCTGCACCGTCACGCAGTCGGCGCTTCAAAGAATGTCGTTACTTGTAGAAAGCTCCCATCTGGGGACTTTAGGCAGCACTGTTGATGCGCCCCCTCTATCGCACTTGTTATCATATCCGCGTGATCTTGTTGACACGGCCAGAAGCATGCCGTGTCGGAACAGCCAGTCTGACTTTTGGTGCTGTTCAGAGGGAAGAGAGCGCACCCTTTCATATAGGTGTTGCTATGTCGTGCAAAGTGACTATTGAGGACAGTCTATGAGAACGGCGTCGATATTCCACACAGGACACTGTGGTGGCGCTTCAGGCGCTCGCCAAGTACGCCACCGTCAGCAAGGACGACAACATCGACCTCACGTGCCAAGTGACCGTGAGCAAACCGAGCGAGTTCAAGGAGGTCGTCCGAATCAAGCGAGACAACGCCCATCAGCTCACTAGGATTCCGGTGAATGTCAACTGCTGCGCTGGAAGCCCCGTGGCGAACGCGTTACGGTTGTATAGTAAAGAAGTGCACCGAGGACACTTCATGTAGCGAAGCAACGTTTGCTACAGCCTCCAGGTTTCGAGTACACTGCCCAGCATAGCACGAACACGGCATTTTATTTTCCTCAATTTTTATTAGACATGCACAAAATTTACTCTTGAAAACACGAGTTACTTTTAATCACTGCTTTCGATTATAGTTGAAATACACAAAAGAAAAGAAAACAGATGATATCATGATGAACAGAGCAGCGCACACAAAGACAAGGACAGAGAAAAGGAACATGCACGATTTCTCTGTCCTTGTCTTTGTGTGCGCTGTTCTGTTCATCATGTCATCATACCAACTCGCTCAACTTACAGCACTTCTGCAACAGATGATATCATTGCTAAATACAAAGCGAAACAGCGCAAAAAAAGGGACAAGTGGGGCACGGACACAGCGCTTACTTACGACTTTCTTTGTCATTCCAAATCTCAATAAAAAAGGGAAAACATAAAAAAAGACAAAACCAGAACTAGTCCATGCAAAGACCCCCCCCCCCCCCCCCCTCCCCCCTTCCCGCGCAGATATGTGACCTTAAACAAACTGGCGAAAGCGCTCGATGAACTGGCACTCACCACTGGAACTTGTCACCAAGTCAACACTGACCCATCTGTATGGACCTTGCCTCATAATGCAGTAAGCCTCGTGGATCTCTCTTGCTGTTCGCTAAGGATGTTTTACCAAAATAGCAATATTTTCGAAAGGAAAAAGTGAGTCATAAGTAATCGCTGTGTTCATTCCCTTCGTCCACTTGTCCCTGTCTCTTTCGCGCTGTTTCGCTTTTTATTTGACTATGTACCGACTCGGCCAAATGCAAACATGATGGCATTGCTTTTTTTTTGTGCTGCCAGTGGCGCGGTGTACATTCCAATAACTATCGTAAAAAATATTTAAACTTAGAGAGTGATCGCTCAAATGTCTTATTCTTCAAAATCATGTGGGGGCCCTTTGACATTGAATTTCGTAACAAATATAGTTTACAACTGCCAAATGGGAACCTATATGATACTACAGTCTTGAATCTACAAGGAGTGTTATTTAAGCAAATATATGAGCGTTCAGTCGTGTTAGTGTTGCACGTTTAAAATATCACCTGGTATTCTTATTGCCGCAACGACCTATCCTCATTCTATCATATGCGAGGGTGTGGCAGCACGCACCGACAGATTTGGCACTGCTTGCAAAATTTGAATTACAAATGTGCATACCTAAAGTTGGCACGCGAACCATGTTTCACAACAAGATTAAGGACTATCTTTAAAAGACTTCAACTCAGAGGTTTTTAATTATCACAAATAATGCAAAATCGGAGGCCGTGTATTTTCTATGTCCTATACCAGCCTGCTTGTCCTCTGCGCACTGGCTTCTGAACTTGCTCCGGGGAGGCTTGCTTGATGCAATGAAGGTAAGAACCAATAGTAGAGCCTGGCGATGAGCAAGATGATCGCGATTTAACGCAATATATCATCGAGGACCACATGAGAGCAAGCTCACTAACCAGTGTGCTGGCGACAAACATTCTGTATCGGGCAAAAGAAATGCATGACAACCGTCTTTTTAAGTATTTGTGCACCTCTGGCATGAGTACTGGAAAAAAACACGTAAAACTTGTTAGAAAACTACTTTTGCGTGCCCAATTTCAGGTATGTACGTTTGGAATTCGAATATTCTCAAAGGGTGACAATGTGCTGGTCCTTACGGCCGCGCCCTGTACACTAACGCCTCAACCCCTTTTTAGGTGGCAAGCAAAGCTCAATTTCTCAACTTACCAAGCTTGGATTTACTACGGAGCTGCGGATAGGTGGCGGAAGTTTTTAGTGAAAATATCAACAAATAAACGTACAGTGTTAAGGTAAAGAGGAGAAAATATATGTTTGGCTATCTGCGGTGGCATCCGCAGACGATGTCATGAATGTGCTCGTCTAGTTGCATCTACCTTCTATATAATTCAGAAGCCTCGAGGGCGCGCCGTCGCTTAGCTCAGCAGACGACCTTCGGAAGTTTTTCGCTATGCCGAGGCGATTATTTCTAATCGACAAATCTAGAAATGAGATAATTTTAAACTGAATAAGAAAACAGGGATGTAAATTCCTGATGACTGTTCATTATGATGAGCTTTTTAATAATGATTTTTGTGATGATCATATTGATGATTTTTAGATGGTTGGTCGAGTCGTCGCATGATACTCTCGATTGTGACTCACGTCGCGTCATCTTTCGGCAGCAAACACAACCAGGTGAGCACTGTCATGATGTCGTTGTGAATGCCGCCGCAAATAGCCCCAAACAGTTTTTTTTTTTTTTGCAAGGTAATTGTATTTGTTGATAGTTTTACTCCAAGCTTCCACCACCTAGCTGCACCTCTGTAGTAAAACGCAGCGCGATAGCTTGAGAAACCGTCTTCTGGAAACCATCTAAGGTGAATAAGACGGGCTTGTGTATACACTGTATCTCTGGACCCCCACTGCTGTTGTGTCTCAAAAGGTGCGCTACACGTGCTTTATTCAACTCCTGTTTCCATCCTTTACCTACAGATTCCAAGCGAGGGGGATAAGATCTTCGTCGACGTGAGAGGCTCGGGCTCTGCTCACATGTATTTCCTCTACAAGTACAACGCTCCCGTTGAACGCGAAGACATATGCAAGGTGAACTTCGTTACCTGCTCAGACACCCGTAAAGCAACATATCGCTATTTGAATTTAGTCCTTTTCAGTGCAGAGCGCGCGACAGTGTTAAAATTGGTGCGAGGTACACACTGCAAAAAAATTGTGATTGATATGTGGAAGCAACCGGAATGTGCTCTTCCTTTTAGTCGCATGAGCATAGAAAAAAAAGTAACATCACAGTCTAAGCTTCTTTTTTTTTTTTTGCCGACATGCGCATTACAGGGTTTAGAATACCTAGCAGACGATCAAGTCAGTCCTCTTACCGATCAGCACCTAATCCCGCAAAACTAGTTGCAGAATCTTTATTCTAATTCATGAAACAAAAATTTTGATAATTTTCTGCTTTTGTCATAAGCATGATTATTTCTTAAATCATCAGCACTTTTATCATTGCAATCCTGATAAAAGGATTTTCAGTAATCTCGCTGCTCTAGCGTGGCTGCCCATAGGTTTTTCACAATGTTGCACGTTTATGACGTGCATCCTGCAGTATGTAAGTTTATGGCGTTTGTTTTATATTGAACTGAAAACATTAAAGTTTTAATTGATATTGCTCTCGCTTGTTTTAGGCGCCCAACTTTCTCAGTAATTCATATTGTTAAAAATGTGGTCGCCGCAGAAGGAAGTGTAGTACCAAAGTTTATTTAACACTTTGCACATTTAATATGGATACACTAAAATAGACAAGTCTGGTTGCGAAAAAAACAACTTAAGAGCACAAACTGAAGTTGATTTTCTTTTTGGTTTGATAACGATTCATTTTAATTGTTCAATACGTTTAATATTACTAGGGCCCTCGATGACAGAGGGCCCTAGTACAATGTTATGGTTGAAATTTATAGATCTATTTTGGGGTTTAAAAAGGCACTTGCTTGATTTTAGAGGTGTTCATTCACATCACTCTATCTGCCAACTGAGTCTAATCAGCAATTTACGACATGAGCCAGGGTTCCCTTTTAGGGTGCAGAAAAAAAACAAAAAAACTAGTGTTGGAATAATTTCCGAAAGTTGCATCTCTACTAATTTAATGACGGCAGACACTTTTCTTGAAGTGATTTTAAGATTATTTCTTTTTGTGTTTAAAAGTCAAGTTATATAAATCTTCCCTTACAAAAACCATATTGTGAGGGGGTAAGAATAAGGAATTGATTGCAAAAAAGTTGATATGTTAAGAATGATATTTTGAGACACTTAGAAGACGCGGCTACAATAGATAGAGACAATGAATTTAAATTATGCTTTGCACTCGCTTTTAAAAAGAACAACCACCTTGGCAACTTGCACTGGGCAAGTTGTGAAGTCCTTGTGCAACTTGTGAAATCCCTGTGCAAGGCGAAGTTAATAAACGCAAAAATAAGTATAGAGACTTTCTGGACACCCTGTGTATGCCCCGTCCCAAGCCTTTTTTTGAAACTGAAGCTAGAAAAGCGTCAGTTTTTGATGGAGCAATGTATCGTTTATTGCTTCCGTCGTTCCCTAAACCACGTCAAAACAAATTGCCATTCACCAATTTTTGTAATTTGACAACTTTGTTGTGGACCGAGCTGAACAGAACCAAGTACTCCTACAACTGCGCTTAATACATTCAACGCTGGCAGAACGAAAAATCTGTCATAAATATTTTTCTGACACGCAAAAGAAGCCTGGAAGAAGTAACCCTCCCTAGTTAATGGACAGTGTTCTGGATAACTACGTGAGAGCGACAATTACTCGAACGTCTGATAATTTTTAGACATCTCTTCCCTCTCTACAATGTAAGTCCATAACTCATTGCAGGTTCAAATGTTGCTTAAGTATGACGTTCTCATGCTACACTCAATGTCGACTGCTTCTTGCTCCTTAATTCTACGGCACCTTGTTGAATTGTCTTTCATCGTTTACAGTTCCACATCGCTGTCAACTTTGAGGAAAAGAAACCAGACATTCAACATCTTTTAACACGCATTGCAAGAGGTAAGTAGTGCCTGGCCGAGCAATTCTCCGCGTAGTTAAGTGCTCGTTGTAAGGAAAAAACCAGAGTGTACAGGTACTGTGTTCGGGAGATGGCTACTCAAACGCGAGCGTGTAAGTTGGTCAGCGTTGAATAGGAGAGCCGTCCAGCTGCTATTGATTGCCATCAAAGAAAAAAACACCTAGTCGACGCTCATGTACTTCTATGGAAATGCATTCTCATGCTACATTCAGTTTTTGCTTTTCTAGAGCGCAGCTCTTAGGTGCCCGTTTCTGGCCTGAGCGGCGTCGCCGTCGGCGTTACCGCACGGTGCATTATGGGACGTTTCCCATGATGACATCACACGTGACATCACGAGGGTTACCAGTGACGTTATAGATGACCTCACACGTGACGTCAAAAAAGTCACCAGTGACGTCACCGCGCATTGCCTTATGGGTATATTCCTTGCTAAATTTTGCGGAAACGATTCCCCTCTAAATTTGGCGGAAAAACTTCCCCGTTACATTCATTGAATAAATTACCCCGCTACATTTAGCGAAAAAAACTCCCCACTAAATGTAGCGGTAAAATTTCCCCGCTAAATTTAGCGGAGAAAATTCCCCGCTAGATTTAGCGGGAAAATGTTTCCCTAAATGAGAGGTGAGGAGGAGGGGAGATTTGGGTGAGGAGGAGGGGCATACCCTCCCCTCCGTACTTTCCCTCCTCCTCCTCAAGAGCTGCGCTCTAGTTCGGCGTTACAGGGGATAGTAAACGTCCTTCATGTTTCCACCACGCTTTGCATACGACGGCAGACTGCCTTCAAGCCATCGTTTGGCTGGTTTTTGCTCAGTCAGTAATGAACTTCGCAGTCCGTACTTCGTCCTCTTGCCAATGACTTCTAAATGTCGAAAACAATACGATGTCGCTTTTAAGTTTACACAGTCTTAGCCAGTGGCATAGAAAATAGTTTTTTTTTTTAAGGTGGGGGGCGCAGAAAGCATGTGTATATTATAAGGTAAGCCTCTTTTTTTTTGGGGGGGGGGGGGAGGGGGGGGGGCAGAAAGAAACTACAGACCCATAAGACCCATGCTCGCCCCCTTCCTCGCTACTCCAGGTAGCCTCGCATGTATATTAATTTGAAACTTCCAAACGTCATCGTTATCACACAACTGTGTCCGCAAAGGTTTCGGACAGACGCAAAGTACAATGGTGGTTTTGTTACCGAGCTACATTATTTAGACAGCGAAAAGGCACCAAGTTCTATCTAAATCTGTACGAAAAATACGTACAAATTGGGGCCGTGAACACGTGCACAGTCGGCACGCATTGCCAAATTCAAATTTCAAAGGTGCACACATGAAACCAGGCACGGGAACGTCGTTTCGCAAAAACGGTTTGTCTATATTTTCTAGAGTTCAACGTGGAGCTGGCAAAAGTAGAAAAATAAAGAAAAAATGGCGCCCGGGCATTTTCCATGTTCTATTGTGAGCGCGCGACGCGTATGGCAGATGGTTGGCAACAGAACCAGTGACCGCGTCCAGGTTACGTTGCGTACTGAAGTAGCTACTTTAGGGCGCCCGTGTCGTCCTGTCAACACCGCAGCTTGGGCTAGTTGGTTGTGCATAATTTGTACTTCACAGCGCATAAACGTCTCACAAGCAAGCACAGACAGAAAAAGCATTCTTCCTCCAAGAAAGGCTAAACCTTCTCACGATCGACGGTCCTTATTTAATTAGAAGCTCAAACGAAGTAAAAAGGTTCTTAATAGAGAATGGTGACAACAAAATGAACGCGTTTTCAATTGACATCAAAGACCTTTACTACTCGCTGCCACAAGACCGCCTTTTACAGTGCATTGAAGAGAGCGTAAACCCCTTTGGTACCATCGCCTTCCAGAACGCTGCGGGTATCGCCCACGACAAGGTCATCGACTTAATATCCCTTTATCTGCAATCCACTTTTGCGACGTGGGAAAGAAATACATACCTGCAAAGGGCGTATGCATAGGGTCGTGTATCGCCCCGATACCCAGCGACCTTTATCTTGCCTACCACGATAGATTATTGTAAAGAAGCTTAGGCACCTCAAACATAGTGAAAATATTTATATACGTAGATGATTATTTAATCTTCCTAGCAGTGTAGACTTGCAAGATCCCAACGACGTTGGCCAACGCTCTATCCATATTTAAAGGCGGCATGAATCCGTTGAAGCTTACCCACGAGCTTCAAGTCATGAAAACCATCAGATTCCTGGATTTTAGACTATTTTCATTGAGTGATTACGTATGCTGGTCATATGAGCCGCGGGGAAAAAAGTCGCTACTTCACTTCAACTCCGCTCACTCAAAACTGGTCAAAAGTGGCATCGTGAATCTTTGTCTCAAAAACTCTCTTAACAAATCAAGCGAACCCTTGATCAAAACAAGCTTTGATGCGCAAATCTCTCGGTTAATAGCAGCAGGATACCCCTGTGTCTTATTAGCGTCAATTCCAGAAAACCTCCTAAAACATATAAAAGGACGGGAGGTCACTCCACCTCCACCAAGAGACAGTTCAACGAGGCCCATTGTTGTGCCTTATGTTCACAACTTCTCCCATGGACTGAAAAAAGTAGCAAAAAAGTGAAAACCGTTTACAACTCCCTGTAACGCCGAATTAGAGCGTAGCCCTTGAGCTTGAGGAGGAGGAGGGAAGGGTAGTGGGGGGGGGGGGGGGTCAACTGACCGGGAGGGGGGTCACGTGACCTTGGGGGGTCACGTGACCTACAATTCCGATGATGCAATCAGTGACGTCACTGATGACGTCATCAGTGACGATGACGATGCGGGTACCGATGACCTCATTAGTGACGTGACTGATGACGTCATCAGTGATGATGACGATGCGGATGTCGGTGACGTCATCAGTGACGTCACTGATGACGTCATCAGTGATGATGACGATGACGATGCGGATGCCGGTGACGTCATCAGTGACGATGACGTGATCGGGGGGGTCACGTGATCCCCCCCCGATGACGTCCGGGGTCACGTGACCTCAGGGGAGTGACGTGACTTTCGGGGGTCAGGGGGAGTCATGTGACCTCGGGGGGGTCAAGTGCCCCCCCCCCCCCGAGGTCACGTGACCCCGGCGGGGGGGCTCGCGCGGTGCATTATGGGACATTTCCCATAATGCACCGCGCAGTTACGCCGACGCCGACGCCGACGCCGCTCAAGCCGTAAACAGGCGCCTAAGAGCTGCGCTCTAAAAAGTCAATGTTGAGGTGGTATTTGCAGCTCCGAACAAGCTCTCCAGCTTGTGCAAGAAAGTGAAAGCTTCTTCGAGCCGATCAGAGAATGCGCTAAGAAGTACGAGGCCAGCTTTGTCCAGTGCTCCGAAAAGGTCGTGTGCTCCATTCCTCTCTTCTGTGGGAAAAACTACATCGGCCAGACTGGACGGTGCTGAATGATCGACTTCGCGAACACCAGAATAACATCACAAGAGCCAATTCAGGACATTTAGGTCTGCACTGCAGGGATTGCGGGTATACGGCACAACTACGTTGCTGTACCGTGCTTGACCGAAGCAACAACAAGCTAACAAGAGAGATTATTGAAACAAAGCATATTGCCAGGCTTGATGATGGATGTGTGAGCAGCCCATCTCTCGCCTTATCGGCAAAACAATTGACTTATCTAACCTTAAGATGATAACCGCGGACTATTTTACAAATTCGTTTGAATAGATGTACAAGAAAAAATTGACAAGACAATTACCAAATCGTTTTTAATGCGAAGTAGACAAAAACAAAGACAAATACAACGTGTTGTGAGTCAGCGCTGTGTGTATGTCTTTCTGTCTGTGCTTGAGTGAGGGCTTGCTTGTGAGACGCTTATGCGCTCTGAAGTACAAAACATCCTCCTGGCCGCGTGTGCGCTTCCGGTGGCCGTGTTCCTCGGTTCGAAGTACATCTGATAAAGATTTGGCTCCTCGACATTCAAAATCTACCCATATCCAGCGTTGCTTCGTGTTTGTTTTCTGTCATGGGTCCAACACCAGTTGCTCGTAACTCGGGTTCATTCCTGTGTCCCTCAGTTATGAGCGGGAACAATGGCAGAAGAGCGCCATCTTCGTTGTCTATCTACACCGGAAGACGGCTCTACAAAGCGCGTGTGTGTGTGTGTTCGACTGCCCGGAAATCACTAAGGAACGACATTCGACAGTGCCAGTATTGATAAAATCGACGTCGGGAGAATTTTTCGCTTCTCCTTATGTAAGATCGCTCTTCACTCGCTGGCGGATTGAGTAGACGTACTGGGACTGAGACGATCGCGGCACTTTCCGTAGGCACGTGAAGAGGGTCTGTGTTCTCCATTTCCAAGTCTTGCGCAAGAGATGTTAGATCGACTGTTGCCCCCAACGTTCTGTGTAGCGCTCTGCTCAAATAAGCTGGTATTGATTAGGAAGGTTTGCTGTTACATAGAATATCTACGCTCACTGGGCGCACCGTGGCGCTGCTGTCTTGTCGCTCGATTTCAATGCCGGACTCCTTTTCGTCTGCATACTGGTTTGCAAGCTCGCTCACATGTGACGTGGTCAGCGAAAAGACGCTCAGCAAGTCCTAGCAGAGGCTGGCGGCGAGCAGGATCATTACAAAACGATGATGGAGGTTCAGTTCGCATTTCTAGAAACAAGCAGAAGTTCCTGTTTAATAAACGAAATAAATTTTAAAGTGGACGAGTGTTCCTTTTCTTTTGTTGTCTGCTATCCGTTTGCGCATTCCTGTTAGGCACGGAAGGCGCGCAGGGAGGAGCGAACGACTCAAACAGAAAACATTATAAAACAGTATTTCGACCGCTTTGAAATTAATTCTTTGATCAAGAGGAAAAATATGTGTGTTCCTAAACGCGCATTAAAACTGCATCACTGTTCGTACGTTTTGTAAAACTGTTGTGTATCCCTTTTACCCTGCTCATCACCAGCCTCTGCTATGACATTATCAGCGGGTTTTCGTTTACCACGCCACCTGGGTACGAGCTTACAAACCAGTTGGCCAAGCAGGCAAAAAAAAAAAAAAGAAACGGTATATATAATTTTTTTTTTTGTATGGTGTGGTTTGGGAATTGCGGCGTAGACGACGCCGTGTAGTGGCTGAAAACTTGAAATAGTGGCTGGTTGTGGCACCGTACCTGTCTGGCTTGGCAGCGGTGTGGGTATGAGGGAACTTCACTAGAGTCGTATATGTTGGACTACAATACCTTGACTGGAGCTTGGGCGATTGAATCAAGCTGGCTAATAGCAGGCCATCACCTTGCATCCACGAAAGAATGAGGACGGAAACGGTGGAGAGTTTTGATTTTGTTTCCACAAGGAAGTATAGTATGAGAGTTTTAATGTTGTTTATCCAGGTAAGCTATCGGGATTCGATAGCTGCATGTTGAGTGGTGGCACGTAGACGTTTTCATTCTCTTGTCTTGTCATGGAGTAATAGTATACCTGGCAGTGGTAACCGAATCGAAGCACTGGCACTGTTTTGGAATCTGTCCCAGCGCCTTAGACGAATTAGTTGTGAGCGTAAATGGACGATGAGTTTTACACAAAGCTCTCGCGATTCACGCTGGCAATCGATTGACTTCATATATAAGAATCTTTGGGGAACTTGTGAAACTCAATACGATTGCAGCCATACTCGCGCTGCAGCGCGTCTTGTGCTCATCACGCACTTTCCACGACTGTTTTTATGCCTATTAAAATTATTTGTGTACCCGATGATGGCGCGCAGTACAGTAGTATCCAGACAACCGTAGATTCTCGGAAATTGTAATACGACAAAAAGAAACGCTCTGAAATAACTCGGCCATGAGGTCCGTCTTTAAGCAGGTTAACCCTCGCCCATGGCGGTGGCATGCCCTGTGTCCGCGGGCAATCCATATACGTTCCGGATCGGCGGTGCGTCAGTTGTGCTCTAGCATGCGGTTATGCTAAAACGTTCTATTGGACATAACAAATGCACGACTGCCGCTTTCGCTCTATTTTCGTTTTCATTCTGCCATCTCCGAGTTGAGATCTAAAGATGACAAAACTTTTTGCGAAACGAGGTTCGCGTGAACAGTTCCAGGTATGTACGTTTGGAATTTAATTTTCTTAGGCATTCGAAACGTACCGCTCCTTACCGGTGCACCCTGTATATCTCATCTGTAACATATAAGCCTTACTCAAACTATTTTTACTGTTTAATAACTACAAAATACAAGTGTGTGCTACACAACAAACAAAAAACGATGAATATAAATACGAATATATGTTTGTTTTTTTACTATATAAAACTGGACAATAATGGTTTGTTGAGTTGGAGCACTTTGATCGTAACGACGCAACGTACTTGTCACAAAGAGTTCTCAGAATTAGTTGTGATTAATTAGTGACCCGTGGAAAGTGCATTTGCTCAATCCTTATTTATTTTTTTTTTTTTTCAGATGCCAGTAAGCAACGGCGAATGAAGTCCAAGCTCAGTAGCACGTACAAGATTAAGGTGTGCGCAAGGTGCGTCTTGTGAGCTTCTATTTTCTTTCGGAAATTGGAATTCTCTCTTATATCGATGGCATACCATCAGGCGATTGCATGAGGAAAATATGTGAAGGTAAAAGTAAAGGTTATCTCGATAAACCGTTCCAGCGGTGTAGGCGAATACAGCCTCAGATGTCGAACGTGACCAGACCTGTTACACGGTCCTCCCCCTTTCATAGAGGATGAGCCTCCTCTGCGATTCAAAAGTAGTACTGTGGAAAGTGGCATGATCTACCACGTCAAGCTTGCCAGAAATCATAATCTCAAAACATTAAAGACTGAAAATTATGGTCGATTAAATGTACTACTAAGTGTTCATTGCGATATTTATGAGGAATTTATTTTATATAATCTATAAATTAAGAATTGTTGTTGGGATTTTATAATGATTTAACGAAAGCGAAAGCTTTTGACTCTTTAAACCACAAACTTTTACTGCGAAAACTTGAAAAATATGGTGTTCGTGGTGAAGCCTTACTTCTAAGTTCTACTAAGCTCCTATCTATAAAAAAGCGGAAACAATATGTATGTTGTAAGAATCATTTATATATTGTGAAATTTGTATATTTAGATATACCAGGAGAAAGTGTTTTAATTACTTTTTGATGCGTGTGTAAACGATGTTGTAAATTTTAACCGAAACACTAAATTTAGAATATATGCGGTTGATTCAACACCCCTTATGCTTTTGATGATGGCGAGAAACTGGTGTAAAAAGCTAATTTAATGTTGGATCAAATGCCATTGTGGACTAGCATGAACTCGAAAAAAATAAATACAAACAAAACTAGGGCCATAATGTTTAGACATTAATATAAAATTGCCTCATCCTTAAAATAAATAACACTTTAAACTCAGTTAACGTTGAATTCATTCAAAATTTCAGGACACTAGGACTTGTGTTTTTTTATAACATGTCCTGGGATTATCATATTTTAGATATTTAAATAAAAAAAAATTAAATCGGCACCAATGTTCTAGGTACTTTTCCAAGCTTCTTTGTATGCTCCCAAAATTTGTTAAAATATTGTTATATTGTTAATATAACAGATTAACAATATATTATTGTTAATTTGTTAATACATTGTTATAACAATATTGTTAAAATATTGCTATACAAAAAGTGCACCTGATGCAAAAAGATTGATACATATAATTTCAAATGCACCTTATCTTTCACACACAGAAAACCTAGTCACAATTCATAAAATACTCATCATTTATAGCTTATAAGCTATCGAGAAGACTTAAAACAGAGCTTGGGTATGGCATTTGGTTATTGATGGAATCGTCCAGTCTACCACAGCACGTCGTAACATACGAAATCCGTAATCTAAATCGCTCGCATGTATCGGCATGTCGATTAAACATTGGAAGAGAAATTGAACCTACCAAATCCCACAACCTCTTAATTTGTTGTATTCTCTGTGTGTCTTTATTGACAAATCAACTTTCAAGGAATTACGTTCCATTACGTCTAATTTACCTATTTGATCTTGTGGTACTTTTATTATCAGTGTATTGATGTTAAACAGACATTACAATGTTGCCCTTACTTCTCCATGCGCGATATATTTGTGTGTTTTATTATTATTTTTTTATTCCTAACTGCTGCAGAATGTACTGGGGTTGAAGCTCGTCAAGCCGTCTAGCGCGTTTTTTTTTCGCAACCTCACCATCCCATGCAATGGCAAATAAAAAATAATAATAAGAATCAATCAACCAATCAATCAATCGACGTTTATTGTACAGTTCCCAGGAACAACCCGGAGGTCTTGGTGCTGGTACACTGGGGGATAAAAAAAACGTGATACACGAAAATACAGAAAGATAATCCACTACACACTATACATGGCCCAAAAAGTGAGACATGATGTGCTTCGTGAGAATAAAAGAAAAACCAAATCAGTTTTTAAGCATAGTACAAGGCAGTACAGGAGTAAGTATTATAATAAAAATACGAGGCAGTAACAGCAGACACGAAACAAGAGCGTAGGAAAACGAGTGCATCACCAAGATCCACGCCATGTAGATGACGAAATTCAAATATACCAGAGTCATTCAGCAATACTAAACTTGCACGGGCAAGTATTTATTAGAAAGGCAAAACGTCCTGTAGCATAGGTGGAAAATATCAAGTTTGTCAGAGTGATGATTCAAGCGCTCCAACATTCCAACAATTGGGTTTATCGGACTAAAAGTTCCGGAAACATAAAGAGATGTCTGAAGCCGAGCAGGCGCACGTCGGGCACCCCTAAGGCAGAGTTTAGATAATAGGCTCCAATAATTTATGAGGTCATGCAGTGTTTTAAACAAAAATAGTAAGTCCGCGTTCTCCTGACGCCGGTGCAGGCTAGGTAAACCAACGCAGGCTAACGTAGCTTCATATGTTAAACAGTGAACATCCCCCTTTATGTACCAATGTTTAAAGATAGAAACAAACATTTTTTTTTTGCACACGTTCCATTTTCAAGGAGTGAGTTTTAGAGATTTCATTCCAAACAACCGAGGTCTACTCTAACTATGACCTGGATAACGAACTGTACAACGTAATGAAAGCAGTTCGGTTTCTGGACTCCCTAGTTAAGTGAGACGCCACGCCCAACATTCCCAATGACGTGTCAACCAGCTTACAAACGTGATCCTACAAACGCGAGCTAGGATCAACGATGACTCCGAGGTCTTTCATTACACTTACCGAGACAAAGCCTCCCATGAATATTATATGCGACAGAGATATTGTGAGGTTTCTGAAAGAGTGTTATGACCTTGGTTTTAAAAGGCTTCGGAAGAAGGTCATTGTAGGAGCATTATCAGTAGAAAGAACATGCATCTTCTTGGAGCCTAGCACAATCATGTTCAGTAACTATTTTTTTTTATTTTTATATTGTCAGCATATCTAATGAACGAAGAATTGAGAACAGCAAGAGAGACGTCATTTACGAGAATTCGAAACAGAAGAGGTCCTAAAACAGATCCCTGAGCAACGCCAGAGAGTGCCCTGTACAACGAAGAATTCATGTGGTTAACTCGGACGTACGCCTCTCTCTCTGAGAAGTAGCTCTTCAACCAGTCGTGCACTGTGCCACATACTCCATAGGAGAAAAGTTTGGATAAAAGAATCGTGTGATTGACTGAGCCGAAGGCTTTGCTTAAGTAAAAGTAGACAACGTCTTACTGACCTCTGGTACATATCACACGAGATGCGGTAGACATAAAGCTAACAAGGTTTGTAGCCGTTGATCGGCTGCTTATAAAGTCATGCTGATTGTAAATTGCTGTTTCGAAATTTAAAAAAAACCCAGAAAATAATAGTATTAATAAATAATAATAATTAATATTATTGTTTAATACATTTTTGTGAATTTTTACCATGGCATGGTACTTTGTGTTATGATGTGACACGTTTGACGAAGTTCTATATTTGGGATTTCCTAATTAACAACTGCAGATTGGGAACATGTTAAAATAAAATATAATTATAACTGATTATGGAGAGTTTATTTGAGATCTTGCTGAAATTTTTTTTTTTAATGCTACACACTTTTGCAGCATTTAAGCGCGGAATATTTTTTGTTTACTTCAAATGAAATAGCTGAAAGCAATAAAAGTGTTCTTCCATTCCTTGCATTCCTTTTCAGACGACTCAATAATCAATTTCACTTATCCCTTGGTAGATACCCGGATGCTCTAGTAATCTAGTACCATCTAGTACTTTGTGCATTGGCGACGAAATTGTTCACATCGCACATTATTTACCTTTGTTTCGGGTAGCCGACCCTTGAAAAGTATTTGAACACCCCAGGAGCTTCGTATATTTCTCCCCAGGTTATCACGATTTTAAGAACTGTTTGTTTTTCCCAAAAGATACCTGGAGCGGAATGCTACGGGAATGGCCATCCTGGACGTTGGTCTTTTGACAGGTTTCAAGCCTATTGTCGAAGACCTCAAGAAGGTATTTACCCTACGTTTGTTTTTATTCTACTTTTACAGGTGTAACTGTTTGTTTATGCTTTTCATTCACTGCTGGATATGCAGACCAAAGGAATGTAATGTTGACGAATACATCTCTCGGAGAAATAACGGCAACCTGTGTGGGAGTTTTTCCATAAAGAAGGCGGTAGTAATGGGGTGAAGTTGAGATGTATTAATAAGGAAACGTACCTTGCAGCCTCGTCGTCTTGTAGCTTCTCAATCGGTCAGGACTAACTTTGCTCGGAAATTCGAGCCTCTAAGGAAAAGTACCAGACAGCATATCCCACGCGTCAATTCACAACTTACCCGAAACTGCGCCTTTCCCTTTCGTGCAGCTTGTCACTGACGGAGTAGTTCAATTCTACGAACTGACACGTCGTAGCGTCAACTTTTACGTTGAATCTATTCCCACGAATGCTGAGGTGTGCCTGGAATTTGGGCTCGACAAGGAGTTCGAGGTCGGGCAGATCCAGTCCAGCTACGTCAAGGTGTACTCCTATTACGATCCAGGTAAGTCATAGGCGCGCTCTAAAAAAAGTTTGCGCGTTCACTTTTTCGCAGAACACGCATGAACCCGATCACTGCGAATCGGTGCGAATGACGAAGCTCGGAATACGATTGATTTGGAATGATGCAACGAGCGCGGAAACAATGACGTTTGACTCGCCTATTGTCAGTCCACACATGGCACGTCCGATCCTGTTCCGAGCGATGTCACTCGCTTCCCTCGTTCTCAGCAACTGGATGCCTGCGCGTCCTGCAGGAAATTGAACGCGGAGACTTTCAGCTACGGCCAGGGCATTTGATATCGATGCGGAATGAGATGCACCATCTCAGAAGTCACTTTCCAACGCGTTCGTTTTTCTGGCGATCGTAAGGACAAAATTGCTACACCTGAAGCCCCCTAATTTTTTGACGTGGTACAAAACAGATCTAACCTGCCTTCTTTAGCTAATGAAGGATAACGATAAATACAAAGTGTAGTTTTTTTTATGGATGTCAAGATGCTACCACTTCCTCATGAGATTATGATTGGAGAGGGCATATACAATTTATCTCAAAATACAAACAAAAACATGCTGAACTAAAAAAAAAACACGATACATTTTGACAACATAATTTTCTCAGGTGGGTTGGTCAAACTACCGGGGTAATTATCCCTTACGTCCGTGCTCGTTTGAATTCGACAGTATAGGCAATATATTTGCTACCTGCCAAATTTCAACTCATCCAATAAACTACTCCAATAAATCCCTGCATGCTCCATTGCGCGCGTTGCATTATGGGACTTCTTTGGCCTTGGAGAGGAGTGGCCTGTTTTTGATTTCGAATGCCCCTTTGACGAAGTGGTGCCTCTCAGTTCTGCATGGTAAGGAAGTCAGCCCTCGCTTGTATTGCACCCATTCATCCTCGCCAGGGGGCTTGTTGAAACACGGGCCTCAAGAGGCCGTAAGTATCTGGCTAGACATAGTGAGGAGGAGTAGGCCGTGCAGCCTCCTGTACCTTTTGCCAGTCTGGCTACCACTCCTGAGTGTAGCATAAATTTCCCGAGTCACAGATTATTCATAAAGCCTCGGACATAGAGACGATAAAGCAGGATGATCTGCCCAGTACTACACTTTTAGAGCACAGCTCTTACGTGCCCGTCTCCGGCTTGAGCGGCGTCGCTGTCGGCGGAACCGCGCTCTGCATTATGGAATGTTTCCCATATTGACGTCACAAGTGACGTCACGAGGGTCACTAGGGTCACTAGTGAAGTCGCGAAGGTAATTTGTGAACGTTTCGACCCTCACAGTGACCTTCACGAGGCCCTCATATGACATCATGAGTGACGTCACGGTCACTCGTGAAGGCCTCGACGAAGGTCACGAGTGACGTCACGAGGGTCACGAGTGATGTCATGAGGGCCACGACTAAGGAGGGAGGGAGGGGAGGACGAGGGAGGGAGGAGGAAGGTTGGAGGAGGAGGAAGAAGGAGGGGAGGACGAGGATGGGGGAAGGGCAGAAGGTGGAGGAGGAAAGGAGGAGGAGAAGGGGAGGGAGAGAGGGTATGGGGAGGAGGATGAGAGGGTGCCCTCCCCTTAATACCTTTCCCCCCTCCTTCTGAAGAGCTGCGCTCTAATTCGGATTCACATGGAATTGTAGACGTCTCTTCTTTTTTCTTTGTTTACCCGCCCACACACTCTGGTACGTCGGAAGCCCCTCAAAGCGTGCTCCAGCATGCTATCCGTGTTGGTAGGTCCCACCTACAGATATATAAATTAAAGGAAATGGTCACCTATTTGAAAATGCGTGAACTGTACTTGGTGGTGACGGGCTGTCGTGGAGTGAGGTTGGAAAATCGAAGCCGAAACGGTGGCCAATTGGTAGCCATGGGATACCTTGCGCGAAAAAATAATTCATCATGTGGTTTTACAGCGATCGCCACGCAAATCTCGGCTCAATTTTGGGTAAAAGCCTCAGGAGTTGGTGCGTTCACGTGTCCTGTGGTCCTAATTGTACAACATGGCGGCAGCCAAGTGGAAGTCACTTTTGCCTGGTGAACGGGATATCAGTTTATAGCTCTAAAAAACTCTACCTCGTTAGCTTGAGAACGAAACCAATTGAAACTTCGCCGTCAAGGTGGGTGACATAAAATTACTATAATGCATATGAGAGGATCAACAGCAGCTAGTGTCTACGCGACTTCCGGGAGGCCCGTAGAGGCAGCCAGCCACGAGTTTACTTTTACGGTGCTTCTGAGCATTCCTATGGGAAAACGCGCGTGCATTTTGTCTCGTAGCTCGAAAATGACATGGATCAACCGAAACACAGTGAGGGCGAAGGCGAGCTGGTGTAAGGTTCCAATAATGTTAGAACACCCGATACTGGATGTAAAGAAAATTTTGAAACAACCAAAAGTAGAAGAGACGGGAAAAGAATTTAGCCAGACGACGTCTCAAACTCAGCTAATAAGTTTCTTGAGTAAACCTCTTATAGACCGACAAACTGTTTCCAAACAAGCCCGCATTTTCCCACACCAGGTGTGGGTAATGCGCGAGCGCAGAACGCAGATTCGCGTGAGGTGAAGCTTCTGCGAAGGCGCCTTGGCGACAACAGCGCCACCGCAGAGGCGTGACGTCAGAGCCGTGTGCTGGTCAACGTTATTAGATTAGCTCAGTTACGGAACTGCTCATAGACGCCGCATGCCCGAACAGTACCCCCCCTCACTCCCCACGACTTGCCAAGCGTCGCTCGACGCGCCGCCAGACGGCTGCTTTGGTAACTGAATCAGGAGACGTACGTTACAACGTTACTAGAAACGTAAAAATCAACGGAAAAAAACTCTTTATGTAGTAACTTTTATTGGAGTTTAGTACGAAATGGGGGGCGCGTGATGTTTTCTAAAATCTTTAGTTTGCTAGGTTTTGCGGCACAATAATATATTTTTCATACAACCATGCCTCAGCGGTAATTTGAGGTAGCGCGTCCCGACCTAGGCTCATCTTTACTTCCCGGTGAATTCGCAGCGCGTCCGCTGGGGAGACGGGGGTGGCATACCTGTAACCCTTTCCACTGTATCTGTTTCGGCTCCAAAATGGCCAATTGAAGCCAAAATAGATGTTAGGTGCAGTTCCTCGAGTGACCGCTGCAGGGTAAATGGCGGCGTTGTGATCGCCATTTGGCGCTTCAGCTGGGCTTTTTGGAACGCATAGTTATGAAACAAAATATAGAGGGCGCTTCGAACGACGCTTGGCGGATTGAAGTGAGTGAGGGGGTTATACAACTGAGGTAATCTAATAACGTTGGTACTGGTTTATATACACCCTTGAAACCAAGGTCGTCACCAACCAACACCGAACAAACTCATTAGCTGAGTCTGAGACGTCGTCTGATTGAGTTCTGTCTCTGTCTCTTCTACTTGTGGTTGTTTCAAGGTTTTTTTCACACCCAGTCTTAGGTGTTTTAACATAATGATAGACGGGGATCAGTTTTGTTATTTGGGTAGTACCAAACAGTACGTACCTTTATGAACACCGTAAAAGGTGTTCATAGTTGCATTATTTTCTTTCATCGGTCAACGACGTTCAAATCAATGTTAATTTGATGAAGTGGAGCATTTGTTCCTATATCATGGGACCGGCCACTTCAACTGAAGAAATGTACAGTACAGTGCAGTGCAGTCTTCGATTTGATGTTGAGAAGACACAATGCTTACAAACAATTATTTTTTATTATCAGACAATCTGTAACCTAAATCGAGCTTCCATGCATTTGCTCATAACAACGGTCCGAGCAACTGCTTGTTTGGAGTGGAGCCCCATGTTGCGACACCCTCACTTACGGGGTCAATTTGCAACGGCACACTAACGGCAGCTGAACCTCTAACGTGCATTATGGTAACAATAGGCTGCGTGAACGCAACACCGATGCCCAACGACTTCACCTTGACGAGCCAAGATCGCTGTGACTGTGCATTATCACGTGCACACCCAAGGCGGCTTTTTTCTTCCCTTTCTTTTTTCCTTTCGCTGTTCGAGATCGAAAAATTCTAAGGGGCCCTCACGTACACGGCGGGACCAAGAGACCGGGACATTACCGCATGCTACGATTGTTCAGCGGTGCAGAGCCGGCCAATCGCGGCAGGCGAGGGTACTGCTCGTGCAAGCAGCGTCTATGAGCTGTTCCGTGGCTGAGGTAATCTCATAACGTTGGTGCGCAGGTTCAATGGCGTTCCACCATCTCCGTTCATACACGGTTTCAGTTCGAATCATATTCAGAGCTTCGTTATTGGCTGCGATCCTTCTATTGCTTCAAGTAATTGGTCGTTTCCGAGTTTTTCACGAAGAGAACATACAGAACTTCCTTCAAAGTGAAGCAATGTCACTTCTCCGCGATTTCTTTCAAATGTGCCAGAGTCATCGCGGGAACTGCGGCAAGTCGCGAACCAAAAGAAACGCTGGCTGAACGCCAACGCAGGCTAGCTTGGGCACGGTAGGGCTCCTGGCGCGCTCCCAGTAACTTCCTCGGAGTCATGACGCGAGCTTACAATAGCAATTCTTCTCCGTACGGAAGCCTGCGGTAAAACTGCGGTAAAATTGCTCAATATATAACCTGCCGCGGCACCAGCAATACTAACAGAAAGTATGACAACCGTCTTTACACCAGGCGGCAGCATTTTATCTGTTAGAGATTAACGCAGTCTGCTCTTTTTTCACGCCGCCATTTCGCAGATACGTCCTGCACGGAGTTCTACGCCCCCGACAACTCGAGCCCCCTGCTGAAGCTGCACTGCGACGACACCGAAGTCTGCGCGTGTGCCGAAGGTGAGAGCGCCAGAACGGGCAGCAAGAGAGGAAATGAACCGCCTGCTTCCTTAAATAAAAAAAAAATATACGTTTTCTTTTAATGTTCAGCAGATTTGTTAAGGAGAAGCCACGAAAGCGGTTTGTGCAGGTGAGTTATACGGCCTGGGGAATATAATACAGAGGAGTAATCGTCACTATCTGTCAAATCAATAAATGAAACAAGCTAATCAAATTTTTAATTAATGCAAATAAACGCATAGTTTTAATTAGGACCTTGCTGAGCATCATGGAACAGCACTATATCGGCCATTATCGGACTCATTTAAGCTACGATAAGGTGCAAAAACAGCGCTTGGGGCGTTCAGAGGGAATCGGTGACCGACTGGATTAAAGCGTCTCAGTTCGGAGCGTGGAGCGATAGTTTACGCTGCAGAACACTCTGCGTTCGATCCTCACCCCCGACCCGTTTGGATCTGGGTGAGCATCGTACTAGCACGCGTGTGTGTGATCACCACTGCGTGGTGCTCGTTAAAGACCCCAGGTTACGGGCTGTACTGTACTGGCTAAATGTCTCATTTACAGCTGAGAGACAGGTCACGCGTCGAGGCAATCCAACTTCGAGGCTCTCTAAACGTAAAAGCAGCGCAATTTGTTCTTAGGTAGTGTTATCGCATCCGTTGCCTTGCTCCTGACGCACGAGTGGTACATATTTTGCTCTCCACCATGCTTCCCACCAGCTCCAAGTTTTTTTTATATTTATTCACTCAGTGGTTTTCGTTGATGATCATCAAATTTCTAATTAGAACCATATGTTTAGTTTCAAAAGACATTTTATTTAATTAATCGATTGCTCGTTACGACTAGCCTTCTATATTATGTCCCCCTGACCGTATAACTCACTTGCACAAACCACGTTCGTGCAGCTTCCGTCGCTTTTCTTAAAACAAATATATTACGCTTAAACAAAACACCCTGTAATAAAGGAAGGATTTTGTGTTTCCAGTGTGGACGGACAAACCCTGAAAAATAATCCCCGTGTCGGTCTGATCAAAATAGGGAAATCGATAAACCCCGAATTTTAGCTGTCCCTACGTAATAGCAAACGAGCTTAGAGGAGAGTTAACTTGTCTAAAGCTTTATTTTGCTTATACGCAAAACGCGACCCCAATTAAACCGCCCTTGAGGCTTTTTTTCTATTTTTTTTTTCGGACGCTTGTAGTTTTTTTTTTTTTTCGTGTTTGAACATCTTCCAAGTATTCGGGAAGCGATTTTTTTTTTTTTGTTGTTGTTTTGAGAATCCTAGGCCCTCTTTTCTTGAACTCGAATAAAGGCCGATCTTCGTCGGACATAATAAAAAATTGACACGGAAATACGCCGAATCTGTGAAAAAGAAGTAAACCTCGAAAAAGCACTCCCGCATTTGATCCCCTAAAGAACGAAACCTAAGGTAAGTAGGAAAATACCGTCATATTAAATTGTTACAAAAAGGTATAATGAAACGATGCCGTCGCATAAATTTAGCGTGTCTATGTGCCGCTACACTTAACGGACACTCCTATGGAACACGTGGTCACTGGCTGCTCTCAGGTCGGTCTAGTGGCTGGTACTAATACCGGGTGACTTGATGCGAGATCACTTTGCACTAGGTTGTCACGTCTAGTCACGGCATCAACCGTGATGTCACCGAACGTCATGGTGTTATGTCAGGTCGAGGTGTCACGCGACCACTGCCACCAACCACGTGACCGTCAGTCCGCGTCCCGTGGGTGAAGTGCCGCTCTATTCTGCCTTTTAGGGGGCTGTCCACCCGAGAAACCTCTGGCACCTTTCGTCAAGGAAATCGACGACGTTAACGATCGTCGGGAGAGCCTGAGAGAGTTCGTCTGCGATAAGGTGGACTACGGTGAGTGAGCCGCAGTTTATCTCAGTGTCCCGGTATGGCCCGAAACTTTCACCGTGACCCTCAAAATAAATAAATATTATCGAAGTTCTGGGCAATATGTGCCCCTAAACGAGGCCTTTAAATTCTGCTTGCGTAACGTATTAGAGGGAAGGACCCGTACAGTGTGTCCCGAACCTGGTAGGGCTTATTACACTCGACTTTAGATCCGCATATCAGTTGCCTCATGACTGCATTCCGAAATTCCGATAAATGTTGCGCAGGAAGACATATTAGCGACTATTAAAAGTGTTACCAAACCTCGCTGCGGAAATGCTTCCTCTAATGAGGCTTCCATCGGATCTCCCTTGGCTAGCAAAGGCGTTTTAATTGGTGTATGCCTCTTCCGATGTTGTCTGCCGAGTCTGCCGAACACACTGGTTTCCGAGGGGTTTAAAGCTATCAGGAAGGTAATTGAAACGGCACCGACCTCCTTAAAAAAAAGTTTCTGGATAATGCCAGTACAGGACGTTTGTGCCTCACAAAAACGTTCTGCCGAACAAACATTTTTTTCCCGCAATTTCACCGTCGCCAGACTCACTTTGAGTTAGGATCGATTTTATAACACGTCCTCGGCAAAAGACGAATGAATCTGAATCCCTCCTGTAGACACCGAACTCCCTTCAAATACATATTTAGGTGCCGGGACCGCAGATGTAGGCAAGAAAAGGAACTTTGCCTCGACAAGGAAATTTCAGCGCAATATTTTCGTGCGAGACCCATTCGGAGTGACGAGTAATTCCGAATGTGCTTTTCATCCGACACGTTGACCAGTGTAGGTGTATGCTGCCAGAGACAAAATGAGTCTGGGTACGTAAAAAATGTGCAATTTGTTTCCCTCCTTTGTTTGAGGGGGAAGGGGGGGGGGGGGCGCAGCGGAGCGAGCCAGATAATCCGGATGTTTTGTTTTTATCAAAAGGGCGAAGAGCTTATCTCAAAAATAACCCCCGTGTGAATACCCCTATTGACACGGGGGTGCTCTTCCTCTTAGATGGCGCAGAATGTTTTACGTAAAAAACGAGTTGTTCGAAGCAGCGCATGAAGGTCGGGCGCTCGGGGAGGGCTCGGGCTACGTGCCGTTTGCCGCCAGTCCACAAAGTGTCACAAAAAAAAAAAAAAATTACACGTTTTTTTTTTTTTTTTTTTTTTACCGCAACAATAAACTAGGCATTGCCCAACGCTCATTCGCCCCCCAAAGGTAGCGCAAGAGGTCACAACCAGATGCCAATGTTTCAGCCCGTTCTGATACCTTATTCAAAAGTTATAGGTGATTTCCTGAAAATTTCAATGGGAAAATGGCGGCCAACGGCGTTTTCGAATACATGGGGCTCTATGGGCACCACAAACCGAAAACGGGCAACACTGTTATATTCCTAACGAGCGTGTTGTTACGATGTACTAGATAACAGAAAGTATAAAACAGAGAGAGGACGAAACACAGACAGTACAGTCTTTCTTTCAAAGAATGTACTCGTCTGTGT